GCCTTACAAAATAACAGCAATAAAGCTACACTGCCTCGCCTATGGTTGGTAACCAAGACAAATATTCATGCTTGTTAGGTTGCGGTCCAGACTGAACAAGCATTAAAGCTTAAATATACAGTCATTAAATCAGTGCAGAGAGCTGATCTTTAAAACCACAGATCTCAGCTCTCCCCAGACAAAACTGAAGCCGACACTGTGAGAAAGAATGTGTTGATTTATTATCTGTGTAGCAGGTGTTGGTGTGTGATTTACAGGAATGTCCTGCCTTCAGATGACATAGCCTGCATGTGATGGTCATAACAATGAAAGGATTTTATTTCCTGGTTGGAAAGCTACTAACAACATGGAAAAATTGTATATGCTCTTTTAAACTCTAGATGCATTACCGTACATTGGTGTTATATTATGACATCTGTGCTTCATTTTATCTTCCGCTGACCTATCTAAACGTGCCTTTTTTGTCTCCTATATATTATATTCTCTAAGCTAAGCCTTTGTGGTTAGCAGTTTGTGTTTATTAATGATCTAACAATCTTAATATGATGCTTGTTGTTTCCATTAGACTCTATGTTTTGTTTTTTTCACTCTCATCTTCTAACATTTTAAGTATGATGAAATAATGAATGTGATTACCTGCTTTCCTAAAGCAGAGGATCCAATCATCACATTCAGCTAAGATGTATTTGGCTCCAGCTGGAAATTAATGTTTGACATAAAAAAACTAAAGAATTTAGATTAAATTTTATAGTATATTCATTCAAATAAAATTTGTATTTGTTTATCTTTCCTTTCTGTATGGAGACATTAACAATTAAATAAAATAATTAGATAATTAAGATACAAATTAAATATATACAGGAATTTTTTTCTCTAAATCTACCATGATTTCCTGGTTACGTCACATGAAAACAAGATATTTAAGTTTTAAAATATTTTATCTGACCAATAAAATATATTTTATTCAGAGATTTAAGTTTCCTATCCATAAGGGTAAAAAAATTAAAGGGTATTTTTAAAAGATACTATTTATTTCTGTGGCAAATAAGTTTCAGCACATTCTGCTTTATTGCATATACCTTTAAATCTTACATAGACAGACTAGGATCTTTTAATGGAGTTTGCATGTATTGAAAAAATAAATGATGTGTTCTCTCCATGCATTTTTCAAGGACTGTAGCTTCCTTTGAAAGTCTTAAAACTGCCTGGACTGTTCTAAACATTTCACTGTGTATTTTATGTTGCTCTGTGATGGAAAAGCGATCTGTCTATATTTGCTGAAACAGGGGACCAGCCCAACATCAACTGGTACCAGTGGATAGATAGTTGTTAAAGCTCCTCTGGAGCTGGGTGCTGTTATTTATTTTAATTAACCACATTAACCAAAATATATCTGAGCATTTAAACCACCGTGTTAAATTAAATTCTAATATGAAGAAGTTACATGGCTGTTTTACATATTTCTGCCTGCTTTCTGGTCCACCAGGCAGCTCCATCAACAGGATAAGCTGAGTTCATGAGTTGACATAACACAAAGATACATGCAACCCACAAAACTTGTGTTGTTGTTTTTTTTCATTGTTGAACAAGATTATATGTTTAATACAAGACACACAGTCTCACCACTGCTGCTGTGGAACTGCTTATCTAATGCAGTGGGTGAGAAACAAACCAAGTGAAGGATTTTAAATGATGAGTCAGAGTGAATCAGATGTTTGTCTCTCTGCTCAGCAGCATCAGCTACTGCCAATAAATCTGAAAACTTCTGGAAAAGTCCTCCAGCCTCATGTCTGTTAAGTTGGTGATGATAAAGGCCATGAATACAGGAAAATTCACTTACATTTCAAAATAAAAGTTTTATTGTGAACAATCAGAAGGAAATTCAGAAATACTGGTCATGAAAACTGTTGATGCAAACTAATACATAATAACCAGCAGGAGATTAATATATTTTACATTATAGTTAAATCCTCCTTCACAAAATGAATTTTATTATGTTTTTGTTTATCGTTATTGATTTTTGCTTTCATTTAAAAGTAAAAAGTAATCTGCAAAGAGCTTAATTTATATACTTATTAAAATTATAATACCTAAATATGTATCCATCCATCTTCTCCCACTTTTTACTTCTCAGGGTCGCAGTGGCTCTCTGGCACTATGGGCGAGAGGCGGGGTACACCCTGGACTGTCACAAGGCGGCACAGAGACACACAAAGACACACAACCATAAACACACATTTACACCTAAGGACAATATAGAGAAGCCAATTAACCTAACAGTCATGTTTTTTGGATTGCAGGAGGAAGCCGGAGTACCCGGAGAGAACAAACACACGCACAGGGAGAACATGCAAACCCTGTGCAGAAAGAACTCGGGACGGGAATTAAACCCAGAACCTTCTTGCTGCAAGGCACCAGGACTACCCACTGTTTCACCTTGCAGCCCTAAATATGGATATAACTTTTAATTAAAACTTGAGACTATATACTTAATCTAAGTCAGATGGGTTACAATTATAAAAGGCTATCTTTGAAATCAGACAGTTTAATTTTGGGCTAGTTCCTTCTATATCTGAAGATAGCCTCCCATCTATATCAGATTGAACTTTTGATATTAGATTTATCACTTTAAAAAAGGCCGTTATGAGCCCAAATCCAATAAGTGTCGTCCTATTCTGAACATAATTCACCAGGGCCCCAAACTACAAGGGTAAAGTCATTTCAATATAGAATGTAGGAAAAAGCTATATAAGACTTAAAGATGAATAAAGCGATGGATATTGTTAGAGGAAAAAAAATTTTTACCCTGCAATCGAGTTAGATAAAGGAGATTTATGGCAATTTATTCCCTTGGCACTTTATTTGTCTTTGCAAAGATTAGAACAAGACAATCATAACAGCCCTCACAGCTCGATGTTCTGCCCTGTTTTGCTCTGGACAAGGTTTCTCGGATGAACTTAAAAACTGCAAAAGAGCCGTGAAGGTCTTCCCACACAGTTAATCCACACACTTAATCCAAACAAGTTACTATTCTAAACAGTCCCCAATAGTCCTAAATAACCCCTCTCTCCCAGACACTGTGTAGCCTTGCAGGTGTGCAACGGCCTCAGTGAATGCTAATATAGTTAAAATTAGAAGGGTTGATTGTGGATGGGAAGAGAAGGCAGGAGGTTTTCAGGGACATTGAAGTTTGTTTTGACCATAATCTCAGCCACACCAATATCAAGCCTCATTCAATCTAAAATATGTTAACTCAACCACAGAACTTTAAAGTTTATATGAAGGATATAAATTTACATCAGCTGTTCTTAAAGACAGCAAAATCTACCAGTGGCAAGCTGGATTTTTTTCTCAGTAAAAAGTTCATTATGTTTAAAACAAGAGTTTAAGACAAGTTTATATAACTTATCATATTAATAAACAAGCTACCTTTGCATAAAGTATTTTTTTTAGAAATATATCAATTTCCTAGTTTGTGTAAATCCAGCAGTCTTTATCATATTACACATTTACAGTGAATTAGAACATAACTTTTTAGATCAAAAGCTCGGATTAAAAATAACTTTTAAGCAGCTTGATTTAGTTTTCACTTATTTCATGCTGGGGTTTTTTTTAATGGTCTGATGTAATCTAATTTCTAATGTCTTTTTTATAGATTTTTGGCTTCAGTCACCAGAAATTAAGGCTTTAATATATGTGAATTGTACGGAAGAGGATTAGGGCCACTGAAAAAACAAAAAAAGTTAATTGATTTTTAGATTTTATTTTGAGAAAAAAGTTAGAATTCTGACTTTAATCTTAGAATTCTGACTTTTTTTCTCAGAATTCTGACTTTAATCTCAGAATTCTGAATCTTAATTTAGATGGGCACCATGAAGGAGAAGATGTGGGAGCACTCTGCTTGACTGACAAAGATGTGAGTTGTTTGGGAGGGACACTGACACATGGTAAAAAACAAAATTAGGCAACTTTTTTAGTGCCCGGGGGGTCCCCAGGGATTATTTCATTAATGGAAGAGCAGAAGGTGATTAAAACAAGAGAGCTAGTCTCTAAAACAGACATGGCTACAGCTTGATGCTAACATGTTTGTTAACTGTCAGAATTCACTCAGAATTCTCCGGAAAAAGTCAGAATTCTGAGATTAAAGTCAGAATTCTGAGAAAAAAGTCTGAATTCTAAGATTAAAGTCAAAATTCTGATTTTAAAAAAGTCAGAATTCTGATTTTTTTTAAAAGTCAGAATTATGAGAAAAAAGTCAGAATCCTGAGATTAAAGTCAGAATTCGGACTTTTTTCCCATATTAAACAGAAATAAGTCAGAATTCTGAGAAAAAAGTCTGAATTCTAAGATTAAAGTCAAAATTCTGATTTTAAAAAAGTCAGAATTCTGATTTTTTTTTAAAAGTCAGAATTATGAGAAAAAAGTCCGAATCCTGAGATTAAAGTCAGAATTCGGACTTTTTTCCCATATTAAACAGAAATAAGTCAGAATTCTGAGAAAAAAGTCTGAATTCTACTGTAAGATTAAAGTCAAAATTCTGATTTAAAAAAAGTCAGAATTCTGATTTTTTTTAAAAGTCAGAATTCTGAGAAAAAAGTCTGAATTCTAAGATTAAAGTCAAAATTCTGATTTTAAAAAAGTCAGAATTCTGAAATTAAAGTCAGACATGTGATTTTTTTTTTTTAAGTCAGAATTATGAGAAAAAAGTCAGAATCCTGAGATTAAAGTCAGAATTCGGACTTTTTTCCCATATCAAACAGAAATAATATTTTAAAATCCGTTAACTTTTTTTGATTTTTTTTCAGTGGCCTTAATCCTCTTCCATAGAACTGTGTTCCGTAAATAATTCAAATTTTCCATTTTCAGCTTCATTCTGTTTTTTTTTATATGACTGTACCAAATATCCCTTCGTTGAGCTTTTATTTTGAAGGCTCATAACGGAACGCTGACCTCTCTGACACAGTGGATGCTGCAGCAGACTTCTCTCTCTCTGGATCACATGTCTGGACGGATCCCGTTATCCCCTATAAATACAGTCTGCAGCGCTGCAGCTGCAGCTTCACTGGTTCTGCAGTCCCAGATAAACATCCAACTAAAGGTGAGTCAGAAAGTGATTTATTTGTTGCTGTGTCTGCAGGAAAGTGTTGCATAACAGAAAAGCCTGTATTTATGCTTTTGAAACTATATTGGACACTGATTATACCTGATTTATTGCAGTAATCTAGAAAATGAGAGTGCAGCACATTAAGTTTGTTAAACCCAGTGTTGATGTTTTCTAAAAATGACTGTATCCTTAATTTGATGAAGAATACTGACTTTATTTTTAATGTCTGATCATAGTGCATGGGTGTGACCTCCATCCTTGGATAAAAACAAAGGGATTAGTGAAATTGACGTCATCCTGTGGTTATACATATCATTTTAACCTTCAGAAGGACATCCAGAGTATAAAAACTTACAATAGACTATAACATTTTCAGTATTTATTTTAATTAGCGTTTTCCGAGATGGTGTGCGATTTATAAAATATGCCAGCCTTCTTACAACATGCAAACAGTTTTCATATTTTCCCAGATGCCAAGTGACCCTGTTCTTTGTTACTATATTAGAAGTACATCATCAGGGTGCAAAAATCCCCAAAGTATTAAAATAAGGTGGAATTGAGGTCACAGCTTCTGTTGTCCCAATTTTCCCAAAATGGAGCTCAGATCTTCCAGGATTATTTTATCATTCTTTATTTCTAAAACAAGATGAGACACACAAGATCAGAAGGTTAACATGTGGCAGTATTCCAGAGATGCCCTGAATAGAAAATTCAATAAAAAATTTTTTTTATATAAATAACACTTTATAGAAGATATGGTTGAAAACATAAACATCAGGTTTGTATTCCACTTTATATATAAATGTAATTTTATCTTCTCAGATCTGTTAGTTTGTTGACCAAGACTTTTTTTTTTTTACATTAAAACAGGGAATATTAATTGTGAGATACTTTAACCAGTTTGAGCAAAAATATCAAACTAACATAGATTTTTTTCCCCCCATCTGTATATTCGTAGTACTGTGTTATCAGTTAACATGAAAATAAGTTTGGGTTTATTTTGTTTTCCTTTTGCTGCATCATACCATAACAAAAGCCTGTGAAAAAAGTGAAAAAGTGAAGCTGAACCTTCTGGAAGGCGTTGGATGTAACATCTGGAACGTAGGAGTGTGGGTTTTTTTTGTTGCGTAACCAGAATGGCTGCAGCTGCAAGTCAGCAAATAATGTTTGTGACTTCCAGGACTTAGACTACCTGTCTTACTCATAAGCCTTTTATCTTTTGATTTATTTCTCTTACCATATTAACACATTCCTTCCCGTAACTAAATCTTCCTGCTACTTCTCCCCCAGAATCGTTTATTAGGGTAGAGAAAAAGTCCCTTCTGCTTTCTTGCAACAGGTATTATAACATAGAAGTAAAGGATGTGTTTTATATTCTGCTGCTGCAGTGTTTAAGTCCTGCAAGCGGACAAACAGGAAGAGGAAACAGGGACATTTGACGGCTGGTGGCTATATTTTTTTTCCTCTGAAGCTGATAGATCACTTAAAGATTGGTTTAATGCTTTCCCTATCATCTTTCATTCAAAATTAAAAATACCACACATCAATATTAGCAGCTGCAATTTATACTTGTAGTTAAAATGTCATAAAAATTGTCAAACCATGATATGCAGCCTAAGTTTCATAAAATATTTGGTTGTATTGCTGTATGTACAATGCATCAAGAATATTTTCCCTAAAAAATAATGGACCAGAAATTTTTACACTCAAGAGACCTTTTTAGGAAAGCCACTCAAATGACTAAAGGTCCAATCATAAGAAAATAATAAAATTATTCATTTTGAATAACAAAAATAATGGGAATCTGTAAGTATATCTTATTTTGGTAAATGGGTAACTTTAAACCTTATCCTTTGCAACAACAACAAGCTTTATGTTCTGTACTTTTCTCATTTCCATAGAAACCTGAGACGGTGGTGGGCGAGCAGCTGACGGAAAAACAGTTTTTATCTACAAGCTTCTGGCATAATCCTAGCTTAGTATGACAACTCAGACTGATGTAGTTCATTTAAAATTGTTGCTTTTTGCCATGAACTCATACATAGAGTTTAATAGAGCTGAGATTAGACATATCAAAATATCTATGTAGACAGGCTTGAATACTCATTATCATAGTTATTATTGTCCCTTTGGTTTATACATCAACATCACTGCCAGGAAAATATCCCTCTACCCCATCATGCTGCCATCACTATGCTTAAAAGTAGAATTCTTCATAATTTGAACGCCTCTGATGTCAGGTCAGAGTTTTTCCAGCTGCTAAAGTTTGAATCATGTTTTTCTTGATTTGGTGCAGGCTAACTAGTATTTGATTTTATCAACCGGCATCTACAATCTGATATTTTCATGCTGACAGAAACATTCTGCCTCTGTTAGAAGTTTCTGTTACTCATTGGTTAATTTTCTTGCTTACTTTGTGTCCCAGTTTAGTTATATTACTTGATCAAGCCTTTTCTAACATTCTCTACAGTATAAGATAAGTAGTAAAAGCAGGTAGGATTTGTGCCAATATCTTATTGGGTTAATATCGGTATCAGTCAGTTCTCCAAGTTGCAATATCGGTATCATATCTGAAATTTAAAAAGTTGTATCGGAATACCCCTAATTTCTTGAGGACAAAGCTGCACAACTCAAACCAACCAAAGCTTTTAACCTTATTACCATTAGGTTTCTATAGGTTGGAAATCAACACAAACCTTTTCATTAAAGTCAGTGAAAAATAAGATATTGTAAATGATCTTATGGAGTCTGCAGTGGATCCACTTTTGTTGGATCTGGATGTTTCAGTCCTCTATATTTATCTAAGTAAACATGGAGACGAAAAATCCTAAACGTATCAGCATGAAGAAGGTGCTGCCTCTTTTGCGGTTCTTGCAGGCCAATGATTGTTCAGCCAGATTTCTACATGTCAATTTATCACCTGATTAAACTCTGTTAGGCTGCATAGTGAAGCTGAGTCAATAAGAATGATGGATTTCAGATTTTTAAACTTTTTTATTAAAATATCCTAAAATTGGAAATAATGAATACAAAAGATTTGATATTGTATTTTATTAGTGCAAGAAAGAGAACGATGAGTAAATTTTTGTATAAATCTTTTGCCTCCAAGTTCTGCTGCCTGTGGATAAAAAAAAAACTGCTTTTTTCTGACTGGTCCCTCTGTGTGCAGATTTGACAGAGGTATGGCAGAATGTCCTGCAGCAACACTGACCTTTCCTGGTAATGGAAACAAACCCCTGCAGCACTTGTTTCCCAAATAGTCTTTTCCTTCTTAAAACTCCCTCTGTAATACATCATATTTCCAATGCAATTAGACTACACTATTTGTCAGCAAACTGCTCAAGAAAAACTTGATCAATAATAGATAAAATATTGTAGGTAAAGAATTAAGCAGTGATTTCCAACTTTTCTAAAATCTGCAGTTTTTTTAATGAAAAATGATTGAAAGAGGCAGCAGTCTGATGATGCACACTGATGGAGACAACAAGAGAAAAACAGAAAGTCACAGCTGCATTGGAGTCAACTGTTTTCCAAGGCAAACAACTGTCAAAGTTAAAGATGAACTGTCTGGAAAAACCTGCAGCATAACAACATAGGTTCAGTTTTGTGTGCAGAGAAAAGAGTGGGAGAAAGAACAAGAAAATAGAAAAAAAATAGTCTCCTTCTGCTGAATCTGTCATTGTTCATAAACGGGCAGCTGACCAAGCACACATCAGAGGGAAAAGGAGATGGGTAAACAGAGAAAGGCCCTGCTGTTCCTCTTATATAAGGCTGGTCAATGTCACAGACAAGCTTGAACACCACTCTGTTCTGCTGCGTATGTTCCTGTCAGGACGCCCTCTGCTGGAGACTTTGAGTAACTACAAATGTTCCCGATGTTTGGGGAAACTGCATTAAAATCCTTTTGTTTCCAGGTCTCCTTCATAACATCTTGCTACCTCTGAGGGTCAGAGAGGATGTTAATGATGATAATGATGATGAAAAAGAAGAAGGGGGCTAAAGAGTCTCTGGCTTTGTTGGCCTTCATTCTGGCTTCAGCCAACTGTATTCTGCCACCATCCAGTGAAGAACTTAATGGTAAGTCCACGGAAATGTGTTTGATGAAAAAATATTGAGTCCATTCAGGTCGTATTTCTCTATATAAATAGAATCATATTGTTTGATTTGGTGTCTTTGGCATGCAGTCCTTTCGACTGCCCACTAGATGGCCTCATAGAAAAGAAATGCACTTTCCCAGACCAGGACAGGCTTTAAATAAAATATAGTGGTCCTTCTCAAAATATTAGCATATTGTAATAAAGATCAGTATTTTCCATAATGTAATGATAAAACTTGAACATTCATATATTTTAGAGGCATTACACACTAACTGAAATAGTTCAGGTCTTTTATTGTCTTAATACAGATGATTGTGGCATACAACTCATGAAAACCCCAAATTCCTATGTCACAAAATTAACATATCATGAAAAAGGTCTCTAGATGAGCAATGCACCTGATCATCTGAATCAAAAAATTAACTCTAAACACTTGCAAAAGATTCCTGAGGCCTTTAAAACTCCCAGCCTGGTTCATCACTCAAAACCCCAATCATGGGTAAGACTGCTAAACTGACTGCTATCCAGAAGGCCATCATTGACACCCTCAAGCAAGAGGGGATGACAAAGAAAGACATTCCTGAACAAATAGGCTGTTCCCAGAGTGCTGTATCAAGGCACCTCAGTGGGAAGGAAAAAGTGTGGCATAAAATGCTGCACAACGAGAAGAGGTGACCTTGGGGGACCTGCAGTGGACTGAGTCTGGAGTAGAAACATCCAGAGCCACCGTGCACAGGTGTGTGCAGGAAATGGGCTAAGGGTGCTGCATTCCGCAGGTCAAGCCTTATTTGAACCAGAAACAGCGGCAGAGGTGCCTGATCTGGACTACAGAGAAGCAGCACTGGACTGTTCCTCAGTTTTGCGTATCATTTAGAAATCAAGGTGCCAGAGTCTGGAGGAAGGCTGGGAAGAATGAAATACCAAAATGCCAGAAGTCCAGTGTCAAGTACTCACAGTCAGTGATGGTCTGGGGTGCCATGTCAGCTGCTGGTGTTGGTCCACTGTGTTTCATCAAGGGCAGGGTCAATGTAGCTATCTGGAGATTTTGGAAAACTTCATGCTTCCATCAGCTAAAAAAGTTTTATGGACATGAAGATTTTATTTTTCAGCACGACCTGGCACCTGCTCACAGTGCCAAAACCACTGGTAAATGGTTTACTGACCATGGTATCACTCTGCTCAATTGGCCTGCCAACTCTCCTGACCCAAACCCCATAGAGAATCTGTGGGATATTGTAAAGAGAAAGTTGAGAGACGCAAGACCCAACACTGTGGATGAGCTAAAGGCCGCAATGGAAGGCCTCCATAACACCTCAGCAGTGCCATAGGCTGATTGCCTCCATGCCACGCCGCATTGAAGCAGTCATTTCTGCAAGGATTCCCGACCAAGTATTGAGTGCATAACTGCACATAATTATTTAAAGGTTGACTTTTTTGTATTAAGAACACTTTTCCTTTATTAGTCGGATGAAATATGATAATTTTGTGAGATAGGAATTTGGGGTTTTCATGAGCTGTATGCCAAAAATCATCTGTATTAAGACAATAAAAGACCTGAAATATTTCAGTTAGTGTGCAATGAATCTAAAATATATGAATGTTCAGGTTTTATCATTGCATTATGGAAAATAATGAACTTTATTACAATATGCTAATAATTTGAGAATGACCTGTAAATAAGCTAAAAAAATATCAGAGAGTGAGTCACATTTTTCATCTTTATTGTTATGTGCAGAGCTCAGCCTACTGGGTGAGAAGTATCTGGATAAGCAGATTGAAAATGCCATCGATGGCGTGAAGGAGATGAAGACGGTGATGCAGAAATCCTCTGAGGACCACAAGAAGTTTTTAGATGCTCTGGAGAAAACAAAGGAACAGAAAGAGGTAAAAGCACGAGATAAATATATGTAGGGGTTAGTGGGGTTTTTTTCTTAATCAAGCAGACACCAGATAATAAACTTTATTGATTTATAAATTTAAGCAATATAAAAGTATCTTCTTAAAATATCATTAAGTTTGACATGATGCAGAATTTTACCAAACATTGCATAGAATATTGAGTTTTGCTGATGAGCTATGACTTAATGCAGGAGGCGATGCGCGTAGCTGAGGAAATGGAAGCCAAGCTGGCAAAGGAGGAGGAGGTTTGCAACGACACCATGAAGGCTCTGTGGGAGGAGTGTAAGCCCTGCCTGAAGAAGACCTGCGTTAAATATTACTCTAGGACCTGCAGCAGCGGATCCGGTCTGGTGGGACGTCAGGTCGGACATTTGGCAGATCAGCTTTTACCCTGAGACTGAAACTCATTTGAACACTGAGTTAGACAACTGAACCTTTTTTTACGTTTTAGCTGGAAGATGTGCTGAACAGAACATCTCCCTTCTCCATCTGGATCAACGGGGAGAGGATTGACACCCTGGAGCAGGAGGGCCAGCGGCAGAACAAAGAGTTCAAGAACCTGGAAGAAAAATACACAGAGATGGAAGGCGGAGTAGATACCATCTTCTCAGATAGTATGAAGGTACTAGTTTATTTCAAAGATTCACACAGATGCTTGAAAATATTTATCTTCAATGATAAGATTTATGGGGAGAAGTAAAGTCCATATTTATATCACATTACAATAAACTGGACAGAGTGTCCATATAATCTGTAATACTCCCTGCATGAATTATAATAAAGCAATTTATATGCATAAATCAAGCGGAACACAATGGCGATGGCCATACTGTTCCACTTGTGAAAGCAAAATCTGTTGGGCACTTTTTGGCATCAAGACAAATATTCTTATTGCCACCTTGCCAGACTGTTAAAAAAAAAAAAAAAAATTAGGTTGGCCAACGAGTTATACAGTTTAGCCAAACTATTTTAAGAAAAAAACAACATGATAAAATCAAAAGTTAATTCTGGATTCCAACACAAAGTCCAGCTTGTTCCCAGTTTGAGTTGCCATCAGTGTTTGTTCACATTTACAGGAATCATCTAGCCTCGTGAGACCATGCTGATCTCGCGAGCTTTCAAGATTTCACTCGCTAATCAGTCTGGAGACTCTCCGTTAAAGAAAATTTGGAGCAGTTCACCAAATGAACGTCCAATCAGCGTTGGCTTTGAGGCGGGTTGAGGTGTGACGCAACGAGAAGCGCGACCGTTCAGTCTAAAGAACATGGCGGCTTCAGCCGATGAAACTAGCATTAGCGTGGCTATCGAGCAAGTTTTATCGGAATTACAGAGTATTTCTTCACTAAAAGAAGAGCAAAAAACTGCTCTGGAGGCTTTTCTCAGAGGAAAAGATGTTTTTGCTCTTCTCCCGACTGGTTTCGGCAAGAGTAGCCTGGCTGTTAGTACGTCATATGCTTCATTGATCTGATTGGTTTATTTGGCCCGTCTATCACCAACATAGGCCAATCAGCTAACCAGTATTTTCGCCCCTTCCCAAAATTACTTCAACGGAAGGTTTCCATATCCATCTGGCAGAGTCACGTTACTCTTTTTTGGCATCAAGACAATTATTCTTATTGCCACATTGCCAGACAGGACACTGTTAAAAAAAAAAATAGAGGTTGGCCAAAGAGTTATACAGTTTAGCCAAACTATTTTAAGACAAAAACAACATGATAAAATTAAAAGTTTGGGTCGTTCTGCCATCCTTGTTTGTTCACATTTACAGGAATCATCATGGAGGGGAGAAGATGTGGTTTGGGAACATCAGGGTCTCACTGTTTGTAGATGATGTGATGTTTTTGGCATCTTCATGCAGTGGCCTTTAGCTAACACTGCAGGTTAGCAGACAGGTGTAAAGCAGCTGGGTACAATATGACTAACTGCTTTGAATCTAAGGCAGTGTTTTTTTTGCGGAAATAAGCTGGATTGTGCCCCACCACGTCATAAGTAAGTCTTTGCTCCAAGGTGAGGCTTTCAGGTACCTTTGTGTGTTCCTCTTAAAGAATTATACGATGGAGCATGGGAAAGATACCATAGAGGTACCACCATCTGCAGCAATGCAGGCAATGCTCTGGACAGTTTAGATTGAGAAAGAGCTAAAAGGCAGACTTCTGTATTTTAGTGTGTTGATGGAAAAATAACATTTCTCAGATTAAGATCAACAGCAGCTGCCAGGAATCTAAATGAGAAAATGTCCTTCTAGGAACAATCAGCTGTAATTACCAGGATATAATTTTTGTTTTCTCCTGCTGTGCAGCAGACACAAGTCCAATTTTTCCACATAAACTTAAAATTTGAAATGTTTGGAGTACAAATGTGACATCATTAAATCTTCCATCAGAAGCATAAAAAGATAATATTTGTTAAAGAAGCATAGTCATGCTGGTTATTAACACATCAGATGATTATCTTATTTTGAAGTGCAGGAAGTATTTACAGTCTTTGTAAGATGGAGTGTGTTGAAGTCCTGTCTCTTGGCTTACAAAGGATATTAGTAATCTAACTAAAATAACTGATCTGAGCCAATAATATGAACATTTTATTCCCTTGTTCCAAAAGACTTGACCCCGAAAACTTACAGGTCAGTCTTTGATTAGGAGCAAGTAACTGCAGAAAGGTTTAAAAAAAAAAAAAAAGAAATTTAGATTTTGCTCTTTAAAATATTTCAGACTCTAATACTGCAGTATTAGTACAATAGAAAAATTAAAAGTGTAATAATAAATTAGAGTTTTTCTTTTATTTGACATTTTCTATTAGTGAAACTCCTCTGTGTTCGTTCCAGGTTGCCGATCACATCAACCCTCCGATGTTCTTCTTTCCTAAATTCCTGGCTCCGGTCACTCGTCGCGCCAGAAGCATCCACATGCTTTTCCATGATCCTTTCCACAGCTTCCGGAGCTTGTTCTCCCCTATGACGGGAATGAGCAGAAACCTGTTTGGCTCCATGGACTCCATGATGGACTTGGACTCTGATGCTGCCACAAATGAGGGTATGTTTTCATACACTGGTACTCAAAGATTGTGACCTGTGTTCACTTTAAAACGTTTTAGGTTTAGATGTAGTATTAGTTGTGGTGTAATATAAACAATGGGTTTAAATGAAGTGTAGCAACAGAAAAAAGGATGTGTTGTAACAACCACAAAAAAAAGCTGAAGTTGCATGACTTTAAAAAAAATCCTTGTTTCATCTTCTTCCAGTATAATTCTTTGTCTTTGCACAATTGTTGTGAAAAATATTTGACTTTTTATGATGATCCTTCATTAATAAAAATGAATATATTTTATTCTGTTTTATTTTATTCTGATAGTCTTTGATCTTCTTAGATGTTCCTTGGACATGCCTAATAGAAAAACCTTGAAAAGCCAAAACGAAAGTATATTTTACTTTATTAGGTGGGTGTAAATGTAGAGGAACTTCTTTTATGTCCCCCCAACTTTCTGTTTCAGCTGAACATAAATATAAAGCATTTTTCCATTAACCATACAATTGCAAAAATTGTAATTACGGAAAAAAAAAATGCTTAATGAAAACCCTACAATAAAAAAAAAACATGTTTTTCTGTCAAGTTTTTACGATTAAGTTTAACTGGTTTTTCCGTTGTATTGACATTCTTATATTTCGCAAAACTGCAATTTTTTTAGCATTATACAAATCACGTGATCTGTAGATGGTCCTTACTGGCTGGTAAAAAGACAAAGCAGACAGGAAGTAGTTGGAGGATAATGGCGCCCTCTAGAGCCGTGGCTGAAATATGGATATATCTCATGTGTTTACATCTGCCGCTGCCATGTTGTTTTAAAAAATATTTTGTGAACAAACGTGTTCACGTGCAATTATGATTGTATTTAATGGAAGTACTGCAATTGTGAAACTTTGAATTTCGTAATTTAACAGAATATCAACATAGTTTTGCGCAAATTTGTAATTGAAAAGCAGCCACAGGTCCATTCTAGGGTCACTCTTTAAAAATATGGGATTCAAACTAAGAGAATCCGCACTGATCTGCATAAAGCAGGAAATTGCCTTAGATGCGTCAACATCTTAGAGATAATATTTAAAAAAAATAAATAAAAAAAAACTAGGAATGTGTCCAATAAGGCTTTGTTGTCACCTGGACAATAGGAGGATGGTTAAAGAGGTGAAATATTGTTTGCAAAGCTCACTGTTAGAGGAATCCAAATAAAGAGAGGCTTCCAGGGGTCACTACAGGTAGCCATCACAACCATTAGATACTGTCTATTATTAAGGTTAAATAGATGAAAAATAAATAAAGGACATACTGTATAACTAAGTAAATAGAATTTGTTACCATAGCACTTTTCACAAGTACTAACATCAAAAAGTGCTTCACCAGGGCTTGTGATTTTTCACAAGTCTCCTGGCATTAACCATGGAGATCTGTAATGCTTTGGATCTGCTGAGTCTAGTTTAAATTGAGTGTTTTAAAGTTGATTAGATTGTATAGAAGTTTTAAATAGAGTTATAAACTCTCTCGTACAGTTAACAGATGTTTTTCTGTATAGGTTCAAAGGATTGTTTTTGTCCACTTGTGCAAATTAGTCAACAGAATGTACATCTGAGTCAAATCTTAGAGTTTAATGGAAGGTTTGTTTGATCTATTCTATGCCCAAGCTCAGTCCAGAAGCCTCCTGTAACTACTGCCGTTTTGAAATCTGCTGTGTGTTTGTCGGCTACAGACGGCAACGTAAACGAGGACGTGATTATTACGAGGCCTTTCGGCAATGGCCGGATGACCTGCAGGGAGATCCGCCGCAACTCAGCTGGCTGCATCAAGTTCCGTGACGAGTGTGAGAAGTGCAAAGAAATCCAGCATCTCGGTGAGGAAACACGGTCAATAATTAATAATCAATCCCAGATACAGAAATCCTGAACAGAGCTATTCACTTATCTGAACAAAGTGTTTACATTAGAGCATGAAAATTCCGATTTCTCTTAAACTATATGGTTATGTGGTCAGAAACAGAAGGATTTAAGACCAACAGCACATTTGTTATAATAAAGTGCAGCTGAAACATTTATTTCTCATCTTGCTCTAAATCACTTTAATACTTCAAGTGTTTGCTAAATCTCCTACACATCCATGATGTTATGACAGCCATCAGAGGTTAAAGAATCCCCATCCTTGTATGTTTTTTCTGGTCAGCCTGGCTGAAGTTTTTTTGTTTGTCCATTAACAGATTGCTCTGGGAATAAGCCTCTGGAGGGCCCACTGAAGGAGGAGCTGGAGGCTGCACTGGCGATGGCCGAGAGCTTCACCCAGCAGTATAACTCCCTCCTGAAGAGGCTTGAGGAGCAGATGTTTAACACCTCCTCCATCCTCGACATGCTCAACAGGCAATTCGGCTGGGTGTCGTCTCTGGCAAACAACACCAAGGATGGCATTTTCAGAGTGAAGGGGGTGCGTAGGCCTGAATTTTGTCAGATTAGTATAGCCAGCATGGATAACAGCCAGTTTAACACAGAAGTTATAATACTGAATAAATTAAGAGCATTTTCTCATATCCAGACTGTCTTTATAGATGTAACACCTTGAACTGTCTTTTGAGTTGTCAAAACCTTCCACTAAATAATTTAAAGCTTTTCTAAATGAAGGGAAAGTTAAAGAGTTCATATTTAATCCACTGTGCTCATTTTTTTATCAAGTTTATGCAGCATTTGACTGCTCCCACTGAACTAGGTTCTGCTGAAGGTTTCTTCCATCTAAGAAGACTTTATCCTTTTGACTGTCGCCACATGCATGCTTAGCATTCAGCTGCAAAATATAACCTAACCCAAAACTGGAAATTTGGATTTATGCAATCCCCAAGTTATAGTTTTCTTTTCATTTTGTGTAAAAATCTGAAAAAACATGGATGCTTGTGCAGTTCTTTGCATATATATGGCCATAATGGTGACTGTTACAACCATAGTTATGATATAAAAGATGTTCAAAAACACTTTTTTTTATTAAACTGCACTAAAGAAGCTTGTCTTATTAATGCTTAAACTCATACATAGACAATTGACTAAATATTATGTGAATAACATAACAAATACATACCTTAAGTAAGACATTTTTACTACCACTGATGTGAATAGCAACCATTTTGAAGTCAGTGACGATGTAATCACCTAGACTCCCTTCAATAGAAAACTTAATTAGTTTAATAAACTAAGCTCAACTGGTTTGTACTGTAAATATGATGAAACTGAAATGTTTGCCAGGTGAATAGATTGAATATGCCCTCTGATGGGGCATTTAAACCAACATTAGTGGGAGTATATGCACATATTTAAACTGCTGTGAAAATGTTCAAATTACTGAATTCATGTAAATCCACAATAACGTAATAAGCACATAAATTATTTCTTTGTTAAATTATCACACACATTTGGAAATAGAGTGGCTTAGGTTCATAATTCAAATACCAAAAGTAATATAAATAAAAAAGCGACAGGGCATCAGGACATCATTTATTTATTTTTTTCAGATTAAAATGCGATATATGTCTTTTATCTCTGGAAAACAAAATTATTTTATTCTGTAAACATTAAATGTAAACCCTTTTCAATTCAATAAATTCAAAAATACTTAATTGAATGCAAAGGAAAATTAAATTTTATCAACACGAATAAAATTTTAATGTTATTTGAGCGTTTTGCCATTGTGATATATTTTCTATGTAGCGGTATGACTGATTTTTGCCAAATGATGACTGGAGATAAGCAATAGTTGTATCTGCAATAAAAAAGAAAAAAGAAACATGAACTCTCTCTGCCTGTTCCGCAGGTGATTTGCAAAGATGACACTGAGGAGTCCTCAGGCGGGGCTGAAACCAAAGTCTCTGTGCAACTCTTTGACTCTCCCCCCATGAACTTCACCGTGCCGGGCGACATTCCCTGGACCGACCCAAAGTTCTCTGAGGTGGTGGCTCAGAAGGCGCTGGACCGCTACAAAGAAACCAGCATGTAAGTACATAAACTATAGAGATTCAATTGCAAACAGGGCATGATTTATTTTGGAGGACTTTTGAAGGGTTGTACTGGATTTTATTTAGGGTTAACAGAGTAATTGCGGTATAAACACAAATGCACAAAAACAGTCTTAGTTTTTAAAGAATTTGAAAAACTTTCATCCTGTTTGTTTTACTTCACAACTATGCACACTTTGTGTTTGTCATGTTAAATAAATACAAAAAATACTCCAGCAAATGTTCTGGAAAGTGTTAATTTCTTTCCATTTCTTTTTTTGCAGTGTCGTAAAATAAGCGTAAGCCATATCACCAGGATCCTGGACTTCTGCTGATTAGAAAAATGCTCTGAATACGTCAAAGAAAAAGAACCTGGAAGGAGGCAAACCCTGAAGCTAACACTGCAAATTCCAAGCTTCCTCTTCTACTCCTGCTTTTGCAACAAACACCGAGTTAAGCAGCTAAGGTTTAATCGGTATCATTAGTCCTGCTGTAAGAGGAGATAAGGTCCGACTTATATCTGTAGTACCGCCTATGTCCAGGAAAGCCTGTATGTGAGCTGGGTCTGCTTACAGGTCCCATGCTGCAGTAAGCGTTTTGTGCTACATCTTATGTGATTTTAGGACATAAAAGGACATTTTACTTTTCTTTTCTTTTTTGTCAAGTTGTTCAGAGACTTTTTTTATGATCTGGGGGCTATTTCACAAAAATAACAGAAATCCAGGATAAGAGGAGAAACCTTGGAATTTTAGTCAAAGTATCCTGTTTTATTTGGATCAGGAGGACCAATTATAACCAACTTGCTGCAATAAAGGATCAACATTTCACTATGTTTGACAGCTCAGCTTCTAGGCTGTATTCTGTTGCCAATTAAGATTAAAAAGTAGGCAGCTCTGCAAGAAAAGGTAGAAAAAAAACAACTAAAAATGAATCTACCTAATTATGCTGGTCTGGAGCAGGATCAGTGTCTGTTTTAATAGAATCAGGGGAAAATTAAAAATCTTTGTCTTAATCTCTTATCAAATCAATGTTTTGTGAAATGGCTCCCAATCCTCAGTGCTGCTGTGCTCATGTAGATTCCTGAGAAATTTAAAGTGGTTGTTTTTCATGACTTTAACTGTGATTTCAGAGACTCAAGTGATTTCTTTTCATTCGCTCTTAAAGCAGCAATAAGTACATCTAATAAAACCTGCTAAAACATATTGTTTTTTTTAACTTATTTACAGTCTCTAGTTCTTTGAAGACTTTCTTGCATATTTAATTAAAAACAAAATCCTAAAAAAGGCTTTAATACATTTAGAAAAATGGAACACATCCATCAGATTCAACTGAAGGAAATTAGCGGTAAACACAGAAGTTAGAAGCAGGTTTATGGCAGATAATTTTGCAGCAGTCGGACCAGAAAACAACTGGAGGAAGAAAGGATGGAAGGTTAAGAGACAAAAGAAATAGAGGGATGATCTATGGATGGATAAGGAGTAGTAAGGAATTATGGGAAAAATGGATGTGATACAGAGGAATGGAGAATGGGATGGGATAAAAATGGATGGATGGACTGACGGATTGATGGATGGAAATAATCTTAAATAAAGTCCTTATATAAGTGGTCCCTTTAGGGTTCCAACATAATTTCAGGGGCAGTCTGGTAAAAATTTATTGAATAAATGCCCCAACTGGAGAGTTTTGTGGGGGTTTCTATGTATTGATAGCAATATTAAACTCGCAGAGTAAAATAAATTTAAACTTATAATAAATTATTAGTGTAATGGTGGTAGTTTTGTGATTTTTTTGGAGATTGTAGTGGATTTCAATGCAAAATATAATTTATTCCTGTTCACTTTTGTTTGTTCAACTCAACTTGTTAGTGCGGAAGGAGGCTGGGATGTCACACAAACATAAACCAAAGGATGTCCAGGCAAGAAAAGTTTGGGCACCCCAGCCTCAGATGATGTTATAAAATAAGGAATAGAAATATATTTTTTGCAGTTTTCTTTTTTTAGAATCTAGAAAATGCATCAGGTATACTTTTTCCACCTTATTTGAGATAAAGGATACCTTTGATCAAGCTAACCCTGAGAAATCAAAAGGCAGTTGTTTAATTGAGCAGCTCTAAATCATCTTCAAAATGTATGGATTATAAAAATAAATGAGCAGACAGAGCCATGTTTAAAATATTGTGCCTTTTTTTCTTTATTTTTGTGTAAAAATCACACAGCTGCTAGTTAACTCTGCAGAGATACAGTACATCCATGCAGTTAAACATCTAGGATCCCACAGCCAAGAGAGGAAGGAATTAAATAGAATATTCTTCAGCTGTTAGTCAGCAATTAATGCAAATTTACATGAGTCCAAAAGTGTATATCATGTACAACATAGAACGCAGAGCTGGGAGAAAATGGCATTCAAAAGTTCACATGGAGATGGATTGCTTTTGCCTGTCTGAATTGCTTTTTTTTGTTTTGGGGGGCATTAGGGAGTAAGAGGGAACAGCTGAGCGAGCAGACATGAAAATATTCCTGGAAGGTGTTTAATCCAGTTTCCAAACAATATCGCACACACACACATGAAGAGTAAACCATCACCCACAACAGCAGGAGGAAAAAAGGTAGAGATCAGTCAGTTGCTACGGAAACCTGAACACCAATCAGGAAGAGTAAGGCTTTAGAAGACGGGTGCTTCACTAACAGACAAAACATTCAGAAGCTGAAATATGAAATAAGACGCTGACAAATGATTTGACCGTTTCCAGGTAGTGTTGAAGAAATGAGACTCAACTTGGTTGCTTTTTTTTCTTTTAAATATGTGTCAAAGACAAGACAAAACAAGCAGATAAAAGAAGTAAAGCAGACAGGAACCAACAAGTGGATTCAGTCAAAGTGCAGTTGGGTCATTCAGGTCTCCCATTTTGATGACTGGTCTCCTGTTGGGCTTCATCTCCACCCAGAAAGGGTCGTAAAAAAACAAAACACTGAGTTGGAGATTTTTTTTTTTCCTCCTCTGGAGCTGAGAAATACAGTGGGAAAGCAAACTGTTTATCAGTACCAGAAGAATAAAGGCCAATATCACAAACATACTGCAGATGGTTTCTGGAAGATCGGACACAAAACCGGATACACTGTTCACACAGCTGCTACGATCAAGAGAACGTACAGTAAATTAAAACCGCTCAGTGAGGGTATATCGCACATACTTGCATAGCACAGCTTTGCCTGATTGGAAAACAGCATTTTTTTTTCTCCCCCATGCACTCTTTCCCTGCACCATCAGATCTGTGCACACCTGTTGGCAGTGGAGATAGAGGAAAATTCTCCCCAAACTTATTTCTTCATAAATGCAGCAGCTTTCTGCCGCCAAAGCCTTCAAATCGAACTTCTGCTTTTGCTATTTATGACTTCAACAACAAAAAAAAAAGGTGAATGAATACAGATTGTAGCCTGCAGAAAAAATAAAGAAAGTTGAAATGTGAAGCCCAGATAGAACTGGAAATATTATGAAAAAAGGAGGGAAAAAAGGTTGCTTTTGTCTTTGAATGCAGCACATGTAGAAATGAAGGAGCAACACTTCAGTCTTTTTGGATGAAGTCAAACCATTCAGTCCTTATAACGTGAAGGGACAAACAGCACTTTCAAACATAGATCTATATATGTAGAGTCATACAGGAAGTACCAAGACTGAGTTCTAATGAAAGAATGTCAACAAAGCCTCTCACTACTTTTTAAAAACACATCTAATGAACTTACCACTGTGGGAAACCTGCTTGTGTTGGGTTCTTTTAAGAACAAAGAGCCGGTTACGCCTACTTTTCAAATTAATGAGGCGATACAATAACAACCTGCAAGTAGTCCAATTTTCAGTCTTTATTGTGGCTGGAAGATATTTAAAAATAAAAAAAGAACAGTTCTCTTTATTTATGCGAATAACTGCAGGTTTTTTCCCTCCAATTCTGCCTAAAACTACAGCGGAAGTGTTAAACAGAATAGCTCAGAAGTTTTTCAAGTGAAGTTCAGTTAAAACATTAAAAGTTTTTTTAAATCTCACCTTCTGCAGATAAATATATTATTAGTCTTTATCCAGTGCGAAAATTCAAATTAATTGCAGCTAAAGCCAACCGTTAGCACCAAAGGTATCTACGGTTTTAAAACATTTCCACTGTCATGGTCATATATTCATAAAGTATTTTGAGTACCTTTACATTTTCGGTCATTTAAAAAGAAACCAATCATTGATTACATGGGGAATGGAGGTTGGATGCAGATCAGCGTCAACCTTTCTGTGTGAAACACCTGTTAAAAAAGTTCAAGTAAACATCAATAAAACTGATAGACGACAATCATAATCAGCTTTTCTTTAACCCATTTACTTCGTTTGGAAAAGCTTTTCAGGTTGCATTTTTAGTGCGTTTCATTCAGGAAGATCATCGCTGGTGTGGTGCACCAACTCCAAACTTTTTTAGCCCATAAATCCAGCTTCTGTGTAAATCGCCACCAAATGTAACCCTGACAGCGTTAAAGGAAACAGAACAGCATCTGCAGAACTGATTTTTCAGAGTAGGATTGTTTCCTGAAAGCCTAATACAGACTGGCTGACTGCTTCAGGTACGAGATTAGATTATCTGAATTCATACTAAATCGAGACAACATGAGCGTTACCTACTGATGGTGAGATATCAACTTATAACTTCCTTTAAAACTTCTGAACTCTCTCTTCCAAGAGCCACTGTCTGCTGCTGTGGTTTGAATCTTTACTGTCCCGCCTAAGTCTTTGCAAAGTTGTATGTTATGTACTCCTTTGGGATAAAAGTGTAGCTGAATAAGGTTTTACTGAGTCACAAAAGACTTTGATTTAATCTAATAAACTATTTCTGTATGCGTTTCCCTCACAAAGTAAACAAAGTGTTTCTCTCTCCTTAAATTACCCCGGTTTTCCTCAGAAGCTTGATGTGACAGAGCCAGACGTACAATGAACAGCAATTAGAACAAAAAACAGTCACACAAACACTATGATCACACTCTCCCTCCTTCTTCTGTCACTCAAAGAGTCTGAAGCACTCAGACACCTCGTGTTTCATCTTCACAATGGACCTAAAGTCGGATGCTTCTCTGTCGTTATCAGTTTCACCTCTTTGTTAAAAAAAAAAAAAAAAAAAAAGGATCTTAAAAGTGCCGGATGGTTGAAATCTGCTCCACTCTTCTCTGAGGGTAAGACTGTGTGGTCATGGCCGTCCACTGTGCAACTGAGAGCGAGAGTTTAATTTAACTAAACGGCCGGTGGCATCCACGGCCCCACCAGAGAAACAACGATGGAGGGCAGGAGAAGCGGAGGAAGGGAGAGTCACAGCGACGTCCACGGACTTCCTCTTAGTTACAGCAGAGTTCTGCTCCATGTTGTTTGGTTAAAGGTGGGAGAAAGGTCGGAGCTGTTCTAGCTGGACTTCCAGAGATATCCTCTCCTCCAGCAGGTCCTGCAGAACATTGACAGATGAGCAGAGTGACTAAATGAGGTATGCAATCCTCAGCCGGAAGGTGAGGATAATCTGTGTGTCTCAAACCTTCAGTTGTTGCTGTAGTTCACTGTTGAGTCGTGCCAATACTGTGTTTGTCTCCTTGTTTCTTCTGATGGAAGCTTGAATTGCCTTTTTGTCTTTTCCAATCGATCTAGAAATACAGAAAAATACAAACAAAAGAAAACTTTATTATTATTTTTTTTACTTTAAGACTTGAAGCAATTAAAAGCTGCTTAACACAAATGTTGTGACCTGGGGATGGAGGGCTGAGCAGTGAGAGGAGCAGCGATGGCGCCGGCTTTCTGTGGGCCGAGTTGCTCATCTTCTGGTCGAAGCTCGTCTTCAGACTTCAACCTCCGACGAACGGGCTTTGGTGGAGGAGCCAGAGGGCCTGACGAGCACTTGGCCTGAAAGGAGGAAAACACACCTGTCACTGATTGGGATTTACTGTTTAAAAGGTTAGGGCATCGAGTTGATCTTGTTCTTAAATTAGGTCCACAAAACGTACATTTTTTTTTACAATTTTGGTGAGTATTTTACCAAAGATATTTGATATTTAATCAATTTATTTGGATTTTATGGGACAGATCAACACATAGTAGCAACAGTATTATCAAAGAGATGAAAAAAAATATTTTAAAAGTTCTTAAAAAAAAAAAAACATCTGAAAAGTGTTGTGCACACAGTCTGTTTAATCTAAATCCAATTTCAAAGTGGAACAAGTAAATATGAATCTAGTTGGTCTGTGAAGAACTAAAACAAAGAGCATCACAAAGACCAAGAAACACTGTAGATACATCAGGTTCAGGATGTTTTATGTACGGTTCCGGTTAAAAAAAGGTATATATTCAGAGTGTTTAGCGTCTTAACTGCTCTGATGATTGCCTGAAAGTGAAAGAAAGAAGGCACAAATCTACAAAGATGATGCCATCCAACTAAACTTCCAGTCTAGTAATAGAGAACTTTAACCAAAGGGGCAGGAAAGGGCCCCATGGTCACTCTGGAGGAGCTGCAAAAAATCCCCAGCTTAGGTGAATCTGTTAACATGGCAACCATTACTTAGCCTCGTGAGACCATCCTGATCTCGCGAGCTTTGAAGATTTCACTCGCTAATCAGTCTGGAGACTCTCCCACCAAGAAAATTTGGAGCCGTTCACCAAACGAACGTCCAATCAGCGTTGGCTTTGAGGCGGGTTGAGGTGTGATGCAACGAGAAGCGCAACAGTTCAGTCTAAAGAACATGGCGGCTTCAGCCGATGAAACTAGCGTTAGCATGGCTGTCTAGCAAGTTTTATCGGAATTACAGAGTATTTCTTCACTGAAAGAAGAGCAAAACACTGCTCTGGAGGCTTTTCTCAGAGGAAAAGATGTTTTTGCTCTTCTCCCGACTGGTTTCGGCAAGAGTTTGATCTATCAATTGGCTCCTCTTCGTCGTCGCTCTGTTAGTACGTCATATGCTTCGTTGATCGATTGGGTTTATTTGGCCCGTCTATCACCAACATAGGCCAATCACCTAACCAGTATTTTCGCCCCTTCCCAAAATTACTTCTACGGAAGGTTTCCAGATGGATATGCGGAGCAAATCCATCTGGCGGAGTCAGGTTAACCATTACTAATGAAGACCAAAAATAGATTCTTTACAAAAGAAAAGCGAGGAGAGACACAGCCAAAAAAGAAAATTTTAAGAATGCATACAAAGTAAAAAGTCCAATACGGTGTATAGGCGTCAGGGCAAAACCAATTAACCAATATGAGAAGTTAAAGACTATGTTTGAAAAAAAAGTTCTATTCCACTAAAGGAACAGTTAGAGTCATAACATAAAGCAGTTAAAGCCAATATGTGGGGGTAGAGATGATTAAATTAGTGGGGCGGAATACAAATGCCCATTTATAAATTTGCACAAAATGCTAAAAATTATGCATCGTTCACCTTTAACCTTAGAATAAAATGCAGCTTTGTGTTGGTCTGTTACATAAAATCCACCATTTCTAATGTCAACATGAAATAATGTGAAAACATGAAAGTAGGGTTGGACCATATGGCCAAACTTATATCACCATACATTTCCTAATTTCAATTCATACAATATAATTACAATATCAATATAAACAAGATTAAAGTGTTAGAAAAAATACCTACAGCAGAATATTGTACAAATTTATGAAGATAAATTTAGATTAATTTACATTGTGATAAAACTCCACTAATATAACATTTTAGAAATATTTGATTTGGAAAAAAACCCACACGAAACAAAAAAAAACATATAATGTCCGTCAGTGACTAATGCAGTACAGACTGAAGTATACTGTAATATTGGAATAGTCATACATCAGTTATTGAATGAAATTATATTTCAATATATACTGATATTGAATTACTGCCCAGCCTTAAGTGTAAGATTGAAATACTTTTGAATAACAGAAGTATTTGACATACGGAGTTGACTGTAGCTGTTGTTCTCTCATCTGCTGGACCGTCACTTTTTACTGCTCTTAAAGGGCCAGCTCCCTCTGATATCTTCTCCACCTGTAGAAATATTAAGTCAATATTTTCAGCACAATAATACTAAAGATGTAAAACACAAAGAAATAAAATACTGCCTGTGATACTGGTGAAGATTCCCAATCATCCATCTTCACCTACTGCCTATTATGTTTAAAAAAGAAGAAAAAAAAAAAGTAAAAAATATTTACCTGTCCTGCCTCACTGTGTTTGTCGATTTCCGGCAGGCTGGACGGCTGCTCAGAGGCAGCGAAGGCCTGAAACTGGCTGAAGTCTGCAAAGTTTGGCTGTTGAGGAATCTGCTGCGGGGAGGTTGTGGCGGTGAGCACAGTGCCACCCGCAGGAACACCCTCTGATTCTACCCGATGCCCAGTGAGTGGTACCGATGTCTACAAGCAAACAGAGAGGGAATACTTTAGAGTTAACTAATGCAGGCATTTCTTTTTCTTTTGTTTTAATCTCATTCATTACCTGTGTGGGCAGCGGTCGAGGTGGCACTGCAGGGGGGAAAGCTATCGTAGAGGGCTGAGGCTGTCCTGGCGCAGATGGGGCAGCAAAGGTGCGATTCATGTCCAAAGATGAGGAGCGAGAGTGGGACTGTTGGGGGCGGGGAGGGGGAGGAGGTGGGGCTACAACCTTTAGAGCCTCTGGAGACGCACCTGACTGAGACCTGAACATAGAAATTCATGCTTAAGGAATCACTGGAGAAAATATAAAATCCTGTCTTTTACTCTGAGGTAGAAACAAGGAATCCAGCCTGACTTTAGGTTCAAAGGTGATCTGGGTTTCGAAACTATGAACCAAAACTTTAGCGCCTTAAAATAACAGTTGTCATGGTGAATCTGATCTGAGATCACACTGTATTACTGGCCGTTTCTCAATTCATAAGAATGCGAATATGGACTCTTGTTCTCCAAGTATGTTCTTTAAAAGAACACAGGAAAGCATGGACACAGGGGAACGGGAGCTCAAAGAATAAATATAGATAAATTGGAACAGAAGCGTACTGATGATATTTTCACATTCAAAACTGGTCTGGAGCTGCATTTCACCTCCCTTTATTAATAGTCTCTAGATAATAGGGGTGGAACGATTCACAGAATCCACGGTTCGGTTCGGTTCACGGTTTCGTGGTCACGGTTTTCGGTTCGATATATGTTGATTGTTAGCCTGACATGTTGGTCGTGTTGCTGTTAGCATAAACAAAACGTGTTGCACAATGCTTGCACACTGTTGCACTTTTATCCACAACTGTCTTTCCGCCGTCATCGTAGGTCACTCTAAATGCAAAGTGGTCCCATACAGCAGGCCTATAAAGTGCTGCTGGAGCGTCTTCTAACTCCTGTTCTTTCCCACTCGCCATACCAACACAATTCTCCACAACAACTGATTTTTTTTCTGCTACACCCGGCTACGCTGCTTCACTTCTTCTTCTTGTTTACTACTGGTTGTTTGGCTTTGGTCGCAGTACCGCCACCTTCTGCTCTGGAGTGTACACGCCTCGCCTATAAGAAAAAGGAGCAGCGCATGAACCGAACGCAACACACGCGAATCGAACAGAGACAGACGAACCGAACGGTTTGGACGGTTTTCATAAACCGTTCCATCCCTACTAGATAATAAATGATCTTTTTTCCATTTAGTGGGAGGACTAATGATTAAAACTATCAGGAAAAAGACAAATTAAATGAAAGTCTTTGCAAATATAACAATAAAAACTTACTACACATAGCTAAGAGACGGCTGCTGCAGACGGGCTAAAATTAGCCATGGCTGCGGTTAGCCTCGGAGGTCCGCTGGTTGCTGTGGTCCTCGCAACATCAGAATTATTTTAAATATTACACACTAAATCAGTAAATGAGCCATATAGAGATGCTTAAAAGTATATTCTTCTTGCCTTCTGATCTTAAAACTGATTTTTATACAAGAGAAGAACAGAAAAGATTACTTTTAACTTAATACTCTGAGGTCAAGCTCCACTGGAAGATGCTGCTACAGCAATGCATGCTGGGACAGCTGTCAATCTCGAGAACGGACAAGTCTTCTCTGATGCATGCTCGGTAAAAAGGGAGGGGCGAGGAAAAACTTCCAGGGACTTTGTCGGTTCTCGGCCTTGTCTTCTTGTGAATTGGAACAGTAGTGGGGCTGAGTCTGATGACGTTTCACAAACACACGAGAACGCACAAGTACGCATACTGAGAAACGGCCACTGTTCTCTAGCAGGCAGCTCTGTAGATTAAGTTCCTTCTTTGCCCTGTCCTCACTAAAAACAGGAAAGTATGCGTGTCTGTGTTTCCCATTTTGAAAAACAACAAATAGCAATCTGTCATCAATGTGTACCGGGAACCCTTTTATTAAGCCCTTTTATTAAGGTTTCCAGAAAACTGACATAAGAACAGGTAAAATTTCTCCAGATGAATTTATGTTAGAGGAATTAGGGGTAAAAATATTTATGTCAGGTGTGATTGTAGAGAATAAAAGTTCTTATTTAGAGTTAAAAGTTAGTTTCTGCTTGGCTTGAGTTGATGGCATACAATTATTAAGTTATGTTCTGAAATATTATATAAAAAAAACAGCAAACCTTTGCCTTGTCACTGGCTCCTGGTCTGAATTAGATGAGTCAGAACTGCTATATCCATCACCTATAAAAGGGGAAAAAATACTATGAAGGTAAACAATAAGGATATATTTACAGCATTTATCCAATTTTAACAATACAAACATTTCCTTCTCAAAAATTAGTCCTGATCGACCTTAAAGAACTAGAAAAAACCAGTCAGCTAAGGCAGTGAAAATCTGTTTACTTTGACATCAGACAGGCAATAACGAAACCAGAAAGGGGCCTGAATGATTGTTAAAGACTGAATACACACTTAAAAGCTGTATAAACTTCAATGATGGGACTAAAGGACAAAACGCACCCAAATAAAAAAATCTAAAGTACAAATGAAATAAAAGGTTTTAAATTTTACATAATGTTGACCGTCCATCTTGTTTTATACTATAGGCCAATTTTATTAAGGCGGTGGCAGCCTAGTGGTTAGGGCATTGAGCTTGGAATCCAGAGGTTCTGAGTTTGAGGCCCCACTCCTTCAGACTCTCTGAGTAAAAGATCCTTAACCCCACACCGCTCTCCAGGCAGCGCACGATGGCAGCCCACTGCTCCCCAAGGGGATGGGTTAAATGCCGAGAGTTCATTTCGTTGCTCTGTACTTGTGACAGTGTAATGACAATAAAAGCTGAGGGAAAAAATTAAATGAAACATAATAAGCCTAATTAGTGTGTTAGCAATAACTTCTAATAAATTATCCTAATTAGAAGTTCCTATGAGTATCAGCCATTTAAACTTTTTCTCCTAAGATTTAGCCTAGACAACATGACATATGCATTATAAACAAGATTTTTTTACTGGCAGTCAGTGGGAGTGGGAATCGAACTCAGAACCTCTGGATTCCAAACTCTATTCCCTATACAATAGGCCGCCACTCCCCCCTATATATTATTAGTTAGTGTATATGACACAAAAGTGCATAGCAATGAAAAAGGAAACTTTGGGAATCAAACTCGGTATAGATAAAAAGTCTTTCGGTGCACTTTAAATAAGTAGTTGAAGCTCATCTGTTTGATCCATCGAGTTATCCTTGTAATAAATCAATACATCCAATTTCTCTCCTAAGCCATAATGTTTTAAATTCAGATAAATAGGAATGTGATCACTTCCAGGGGGTTAGCTAGCGTGTGAAGCTCACGGGTGGCTGTGAAAAATTACAAAACAGGGCAGACATTATCAGGAACGACCTGCCTCCTCAATAGAGAAACAACATTTTTACCTAGAACTATCCTTCATTTGACAGAAAAGGGAAAAAGTCTCTATTCTGGAATAAATAATTTCAAAGCAGTTACACTGGGAAATAAAAGGTTTTTTTTTTTTTTTCTCTAACTAGTGTAATTATTTTTCTTTTGGCAACAACAGTCCCTTTTTTTTACCCACCAACGGTGTTGGCAGCTACAAATTTCATGGTAGGGGGCAGCTTGGTTTCTTCAGACAGTTCTGGAGGTTTTGCCAGTAGAGGACTAGTAGGATGATTGTGATCTGAAAGTCAGAGAAAAACAAGGACAAAGATGAATATTAAGTCAATAAAAATGTAGGAAAAAAGTATTTGTTACCCTCTTACATATTAGTTCTTTTTTTGTCCTTTTATCAGAAACATATGAGTCAGATGAGACTGTTTTTCTTAGGAAAAAATTAAGATATCTACAAAAATAACCAATGTTATAGCTGGAATCTAAAGAAATTGAAAACACATGAGGAAAGTCATTAACATCTCTCTCCAGATGTTCCCTGGAAAACCACACTTGACCATTAAGGTTTGTTTTTATGATTCCCTGATAAGAAAGAGGAGACATTGGACAAACAAAAATATGTTTATGAAGAGCCTAAAGGCCAGAAATAACGCTAAGAAAAAACAAAAACAAAGGCCAAGCTCCCTTCTACTAAAAAAACCTGAAGCTATGCCTTTGATTTTAACTTGTGTAAAACCATCATTTCAGAAAAAAATTATTAAATCAAGAGTTAAACATGGCGGCTGCAGTGTGATGCAAGAGAACAATCAGCCCGTTTGTAACTCTTATGAAGCAGAATAATAATCCAAAGAAAACCTCTATATCCTCTAAGAAAGTATCTGGGATAGTACTTTTAAATCCAAATTCAAATCTTACAGAGATGCAAGCCTTGACAGTAGCAGGATTTTATTTATCTAAGCCCTTTAATGTCTCATTTTAAACAAATTAAAAGAAGAGTAGGACAAATATTTTTGAGAGCAACTTGTCAAAGAGTGATGGTCAGATCAGATACGCTTGATAACATCCCCCTGTAGTAAAATTTTTAAAGCAAAAAGACAAAAGAGCAAACAGGGGAAAGCTTTCAGAGGGACAACCAATTGTTGGATCTGTAATAAAAAAAAAAAAAGACTGTTCATTTATCATTTCCAGAGGGTGATTACAAAGAGAAAGCACCATACAGCTATGTTTAATCATGGGTTCAAACCTTCTGTTGTCATGACATAATTGAAAATTATTATTATTTTTTTTTTTTACAGTTAAAATAGGGGGTTAAAAAAGCTTTAATCTCCAGTCCAAAGATCACTAACATTTGTACGGAAAACAGCATAACGAGTCTTGGGAAGAGATGCGGCTGTGTCATGTGCACTGGCAGCATTTATCTATCAGTAATCTGAATCTAAACAGTCAGACTGGAGACCAGAGAGAAGTCCTACCGCTGCCAGTCCTCTTGAGCTCCATCTCCTGCATGTGAATCTTACTGGGAGTCATCCGGATGGGGACCGGGTGGACGATGGCTGTGTCCTGGAAGACACGCATTTATGTAAGCGGAAAGCTACACAGGCAATCTGATGTATCCAAGGCTTGCTTCTTTGATAATCATTTCTAAAACAATGTGATGCTGTTGTCAATATGCAAAGAATGAGCTTTGTTTTTTACTAACTTTAAAAAAATCTAAATATCTATTAGAAGGTTGATGTCGGCACTGTGGGAGGAGGAGCTGATTTCCTATAGAAGCTAAGGCTTCTAAATAAGAAACCAATGCAGCAACCACTGAAGGAGGAGGCAGCACTTTGTAAGAACATCATGCACAGAAAGAATGATACAGACAGAAAGATCCAGAGAAGGTTAATGTCTGTGCATTACTCTGTGAAACCATGCATGCCAAGTGATTGACTTACAGGGTCAGCTGGTGCAATGTTAGAGTCAAATTGGGTCAGAGTTTGTGAGCTGGAGGAGCGCTCGCTAAACGTCTCCCACTGCTGCAGGAGACAGACAGTAAGAAAAAAAAAACAAATAAGAAACATGTCAGTCAGCCGGAACAGTGACATCACACTTTCACTGAAAAATCCTCAAGCTCAGCCACGACTGTGGAAACTAAACTACCATCAGAGTCCCAAAGAGGGGAAGAGGAGGTGCTGAATTAGCAATAATTATGTTTAACGATGAGGAGAGTCATACAGTGATGGATGGATACAGAAGAGATGAAACTTTGAACAATTAGGGTGAATCAAATGCAAACCAAGCAAAGAGCAAACAAAGATGTAAGCTAGAGTAAAAATTGGGTTTGCGTGTTGGAACCTCGTTGCTCTGGTTCATCTCTGGCCACGCTTGGTTGAGGGAAGGCATAGAGGGAGATTTGTTGGGGGTGACCTCCACTGGGGAAGCAGAGTACACAACTTCAGCCGCCGGCTCGGGAACCTCTGAGAGCGGGAAAAAAACAAAAAACATAACAGATGAAATGTTATATACACACAATTTCTGTTTGACATAACAAGAAAAGTTTTTTTTTTATTGGTTTTGTCTTTGACGTGATTACGTTTTATTTCCTAAAGAATCTTTAATTTAAATTAGAATTTCATTTATGGTAGGGATTCACATTTCTGGTTTATTTCGCACTAAAACAATTCTAGTTCAGTACAATCTTAAATGTTGTCAAACTGTTAGATGTTTGTATTAATTAAACACCTATTATACCAGAATCTATAATTCTGTTCAGAAAAACGTTCCAGGTTTAAAAAGGTGAGTTTTTTTCCATGTTATTAAAAACATTTTTTATGCCTTTAATAATTTTTTATTTTAAATCCCCCCATAATATTGAAAATAATACTAAGTAGGCATGGGCTGCTATCAAATTCTGACGGTATAGTAACTGTAAACAAAACTATTATTAGGATTACAGAGAGAAAATAATATCAATGCTTGAATTGTGGGCGGAGCTTCAGTATAAAAGCTGCAGTATTAAGTTTATAGAATGAATCAAAATTCAGTCATTATCTTCTTAATTTTTCTCTTTATTTCCCTGAAATACTGTCTGTATCTTTATTGCATTTTTGTAACTTCTGTAAAGCACTTTATGACCCTTCTCTTTGAAGAGTGCTATATAAATAACCTTTTGCTTGCCATTTTTAGGTCATGGGAATAATGCCAACATATACCTTGCAGGGTCTTACTGTATAGTATTATGCAAAAAGGAGCAACCGGAATGATCAATATGAACAAAAAGTCTGCAGCTACAGCTATGAAGGGATTCAGTACTTTTGCCTTTCAATTAAAACTATTTAAAACACACAAGAGGAGAAGTATCCAGCACCATCACCAAGCTGTCTGCCTCTGTAACACGACAGTGTTAATGCCTGACAATAAAGGTTCCTTTCAAGGCAAACTTAATCTTCAACATGCGCCATCATATCAGCTGCATTTAGCTTTTTCATACCAGGGTATACTGAGACCCGCAGCCGGCTCATACCTATTATTGAGAATTGGATATTTTCCAGGGTATTGATGTTGAGTTTGAAATGTTAGTGCAATGACTTGGAGTCAAATACACTAATAAAGTTTTTAAATTTGAGTATTTCTACATGAATACCCTAAATGCCATTGGTTGCTCAGTGAAGACTGACTCCACCTCTATCCATGCATCCTGGTGTTAATGCCAAGTCAACTAATGCTAAGTTGGTTTATGTTCTCTAAAGGTGTTCAAGTTTGTCCATTTAACTTTTGCCTGCCTGTCAGATTTACAAGACAGTTTGGCTTCCTATAAATGCTGTTGAAATGCACCTAGCAGCTAGGTGCATGTAACTAGGTCCTAGCTACAAAATTAAGGAGCGACAGTGCAACGAATCAATCCAGAGGGCTGCGACAGCTTAGCTTGGTATTTGGCTACTACTGATTTTCTTTAAACATTTGTAGCAACAAGTATTGCCTGATTACAGCAGTGGTCTCCATAGCAGCCTCTTATAGGTCCCTAAAAGTTTAATAGTCTTCTCTACCAACACCATTTGCTTTTGTCTAAGGATCTTTAAAAATTAAAACAATTCAATGCAAATTAAAGGGCCTCGTTTAGATCTTAAAGCAACAGAACAGAGGAATATGAAGCACCATTTGGGTGGGGTTTTCAATCGCCCCGCTCTACTATGCAAACACTGCTGCCTTACAGCTCTGGTGAGGTTTGACTAAAGAAAAGAGGAGGAGGATTAGAGCCTGAGCAAACCTGCTGAATCATCAAGGTCGATCAGCTTCGGCATGAGGCTCTCCGGCAGCTTCTCTGGAAGATCATAGCCGTTTTTTCTGGCCACCACCAAATGAAAGGCGGCACAAAACTCGTCCAGGGTCAACGCTCCGTCTTTATCAAAGTCCGACAGCTCCCTTAAATAATAAAACAGCAAACCAGGTCTCATTTCATCCTTCAACGGAAAAATTATTTGTATGCATTAATGCAGAAAACATCAACATGTAAGACAGATGTAAAGCAGACTCACCAAATATGGGACAACTCTAAAATAGGTAGCTTTGACTTAGTAAAGAATTCTTTCGCAGCTGAACCTGGAACAAACAAAAAGTGACCATTAAAACACTTTTTTATAGATTTTTGAGTCTATGTGAGGTTGTTTTTCTTCCCATACCTGGTATTAAGCCAGTGAGGTCAGGCTGAATGGTTTTGAACTGGTTAATGTAATACTGTCTTTGCTCGTCTGTGATTTTCCAGGGATCGTCGTAGCTGCTGGACTGTCGCTGGATCTCATTGGTCGTCGTGGCCGAGGCGACGGTTCGTATCGTTGTGCTTTCCTACAGGCAACAGATTTTTATTTTTATTCTGTTGGAAATACTAAAAAGAAATGAAAACTACCAAAGCAAAAACACAGTAAATGTCACTTTTTTAAAAATAAAAAAAATAATAAAAAATAATCACTGCCCTAAAGCCGGGAGCTGATTTCTGTGTCTCGAAAATGATGTAACAGACTAAAAATGGAACTGGCTAAAATTAGACCCATGAGCCTTTATTTGAGTCAGCACAGGAGTTTCAGTTTAAAGGCATCGGCTGACAAAGCAGGGGTATGAAATGCTGACTGGTTTTTAAAGTCACAAGTGTGGTTTGTAGGAACTGCTGCTGTCATTTCAACTAATGAAAGAAGATTGGGATCTCAGTTTGAGGACAGATTCTTACGGTACGGAGAAACCTCTGCCATACTTTGACCTACACTGCTGTATTTATTTTTTGAAGAAATGCCAGACAATTAAGTACTACAACCAATTATTGTTTACATTAGTATAGTGTTACATTTACAATATTTCTTTCTGAATGTTCATTTACAACAAAAATTTTCCAGATTTCTTAGATTTCCTTCTGCTTATATTTCTTATGAATGCTACGAATTTCAGCAGTAGCCAGGCGTTTTTAACCCCTAGAACCCTACGGACCCACCGGTGGGTCCAGCTGCTACGTGACCTCGTAATTTTAACAAACCCCCAGTATTGATGTAAAAAACACATTTGGCACAGTTTGGTAACATTTTTGGATAAATGTGCCAAAATGGCCCCTCCTCCTATGAAAATTCTCACTAATACCATTCTAAAATAAATATGATTCATCTGATTGAGTCCAAATTTGGTATATTTTTACACAACATTTAGATTTAATGGTCTGTACTACTTTTTTGTGCTATAAATAATATTTTGGTAGTGTTTTGCAATGTTTATTTCAAAGAAAATTTTGGCGAGGTTCAAAAAATGCAAAATATTTTGTATTTTGTCCCTAATATGTCAGGCAGGGTCAAAGCTACAATGGTGCTGACACCAGAAAACCATTCTATGACATCTTACCTTTACAGAGGTACCAAAAGTTTCTTCTTAAATCTAATAGCTGTGAGGCTATAAGTGATTTACTTTTGTGTGTTTTTGTCAGGCAGAAATTTATTTATACCCCCTGAGGGTGTAAGAGGTTAATGAAACCTGCAGAAACCAATTTGATTAAGGATGAACTAAGGGATGAACTGATGGATGGGAAAAAAAAATTATGGATGGAGATGGATGGATGGGTTGAGGGTTTATAGAGAACGTACACTCTAAATATCAAGCCGTCTACCTAGGAGATTAAGAAAATTGCAATAATTGTTTTCATTTCTAAAACCAGGTTTTATAAAAAAATAAAAAATTGTTTGTAGCCAACGTCTAGGCAACTTAGTTTCATTTTCTTAACATCTAAATAAACTTTTACATCATAAAACATATTATGCTGAACCAAACAAACGTCACTAAAAACATTGCAGGCATAGAGAGCGACTATGTACTTATAATGAGCTAACATGTTTAAGTTAAGGCAGCTCTTCCAAATATTCATATTGCACACAGCCAAACTGCAATAATGAATTAGTGATGTACTGCAGAGCTCCGAGTAAAAGTTTAACCTGAAGGCACCATATGTGTGAAGCTGCTGGGAAATCCCATCTTGTCTGATATTCCTGCAATCCCAGGGACTTTTACCTTCAACTTGACATCATTTCAGGTGAGTAAATAAGTTACTTAAAGAGTGAGCTATGCACCCAATTACGTTTGGAAAATGCTGACACTAAGCTATTGTTTTCTCCAGCTTCCTTTTTCAATTATCTCATTGTGAAGGTAGCTAAATAATAAAAACTAATATGTTTATTTTTTTCCATCTTATTTTTTCACAAGAAGCTGATTTTTTTGTGATAGGTGGGATAATGTATCCACGTCCACTGGTTAAGTTTCTAGATGGAGCAGAGCACTGAGCTCTTAGTTCCACACGCAAACAATCTTCATGTGTTTAGATTTAGAGATAAATTCGATACACCTTCATCCGTACACCTCCTGAGGATGAATCCCTTTTCTTTTTCTAAACTTATAGAAAGCTAATTTTAAAGATTGTTTAAGAACTATTTAATTCCCTGCTCTACACGAAATTGATGTGTATGAATGATACGGGTCTAGTTCAGCTGCTCTACCTGGACTGATGACGGGTGCATTGCTGGAAGCGTGCTGGAGGGCGGGGTGTCTGCTGTAAAACTGACCCAGCTTTCTTGGCTTGGAAGAGGAGGGGGCGAGTGGGACGACCACATGCCATCACCTGTTCCAGGCCCTGGAGGGGAGGAACCACATGAAGGCATTAAAAAAAAAAAAAAAAAAGACACATACACCCCCCCCAAATTAAACACATGCTGACAGATTGTGTGGCCGTCACCTGTTTGCGGCTCTCTGAACTGCGTCCACACAGCTCCGCTCGCAGCCACCACTTGCTGCCTGTCTGTGTTCCCTCCACTGTGTTGCCGTTTGTGCTTCCTCCAGGAGTGAGGGGAGGTGGGGGGAGACTGGTGGGGTGAGATGACCGGGGACGTGGTTTCAGGCTGGGAATCATATTCAAATAGAAAACATATTTTCAGAAATGCATAGGTTTTATAATAATAATAATCTTTTAGGTCCTATCATAAATTCCATACATTGCTTCTCTTACAGGCGCAGCACATGTGAAGAAAATAAGCTACGAAAAGTAGTAAAATCAACATAATCTGCTTCATCTACCATGTGGGATGTTCAAGCCGACCATGAATGAGCATTTCAAAACTAATGTGCAAAGATAACCAGCATGCAAAAGATCTATTCGTGCGATTGGCAAGTTAGCACCCACGGCAGAACAGAAACTCATTTCAGCTACAAATCAACCAAGCACGCACAGAGTAGTAGGAACCCACTGATTGCAGAGTTGAGCTGCAGTATAAAGGTCTTTAAAATAAATATGACTATTATTTTCAAAAGGAGAATCATCATGTCTTTATATCTTCTGGATCGTAGATGATGCAATATCAAATTGAGAAGTAAAAGATTGTTTTCTTAAAGGAGGAGCATAGTTACCAACCTGAGTTTCTATGCTGGGTGCCAGGGGCTGGATGACCTCATGGGCTGGAAGCGAAGTGGAGGAGGGGGGGGCTTTCTTGTTCTGGTGACCCCTGCCAGGTGGTCGGGGTATTAAAGCCGTTCCAGCGGCTGGGTATAAGCCCTGGCTGTCTGCATCCTGGTACAGGGCTGCGTGTCTCGCTTCTGCTTCGTTCTTTCCCACCACGAACCGGGGCAGCGGAAGATCTTTGACTATTAAAGAAGTCACAAAAAAAAAATTATAAATTTTGATTCAAACAAACCTCAATCTAGGTTCCTTAACACACAGCAGAATTAATTCAAACATCCATTTTCACAGGCAGCGGAATTGTTTCCGTGCCATGTGTGTCTTTGGTTCGAGCTGAGTCACACAGTTACAGCCATCAGCTGACGATAGTGTAGCTTGTAAAAAGCGGGGAAAGCCATAAAACGGGAACAGTGTGTAGATTCTTGCTTCCTCAAAATAAAACACGCAGATCTGTTTAACTGAGCTTCGTTGTATGAAGTTAAGAGGTAACAGCAAAACATGGAGCCTGGTATGTGCTTTAGTTCCTGATGGTGTCCGACGTCATAGGGTGTTCCTTCTTTAGAGCATTATTCTTAAAAAAAAAAAGGAGAACGGCAAAAACTTAACTAATCATAAATGTGTTTATAATGTCTGAATTATGGACCATAAAAACACGTGAGGCCTGAGACCCATTTAACCCTTTGATGTAAAAGAGACAAACATTGAAAAGATGTTTAAAAAAAAGACAAAAAAAATCCCCATATTCCACTCATTTAATTCCTTTATTATAAAAAAATTTAGCTATAATCTGATGGAAATTGAACATCAAACACTGCATGACAGATAGCAGCATTAAATGTAAACAGCTTTTTTGTTATTGAGATGAAAGAATATAAAAAGATTAAAGTGATTTTTGCCTTTTAAAACCACAAAATGCTTTTATGCAAATTCTAGTTTAACATTATTATTACCTCCCGTTAACAATGAGGGATGAGATGCAGCAAACTGTGGAGAAAGTTCACAAGTGAGTGAGAAGTGGCTTAGAGTTAGAGTCAGCTCCTTTTTATTTCAGGGCAGACTTTCCAGCCAGACATCAAACCACATTTATCAAAATACGATGTTCTATCAATCTGTTCGGACGGCAATAATTAAGACAAGTTTTATTGTCATTTTGTATACGCAGTGTCTACAAAATAAAATTTAGTTTTGTGCAGCTTTCAGACAGTAAATGAGCAGCAGCTTAGCAGGGAAAATAACATTTTCATTTCATAAAGTTCAGCAGTGATTAGATGTAAACATCGTGGGAGAAAAACATGGTGCACAACACATCGGTATGGAAGTGCAGAGCATTGTAAAGACAAATATATATGGTGCAAAAATGGACTTGTACGATTTCTATTCAGTTCAATGAACAAGTATGTGATTAATATATATATATTGCAATATCACCCACCCATCTAACATAATCATCTATATTAGCTTCACAAAAACAGATCTTTAAATCTAACAAGACATTTGCATCAAAAACAGTAGTATTAGATCACCTGTTAACTATTCTCATGCCTTGTGAATTTCAAAATAAAGGTGCATCTTAAAGATGATGATGTGAATCGATGTTTTAATTTGGCATCAATGTAAATGAATCATTAAATTTATTTATGTATTCATCTGGATAGTTTTTTTGCTACCCCCTATCAGAAACAAGTGGGGGTCTCTCTCGGGGTCAAACCAGAGTCTGCTCCTTTGTTCCCTCTGTTCCTCTTAATTTATTTCATATCTGATAGGATACTGATTTTGCAGCTCTGAGAAATAACCTATGCTAGGGCTGCAACTAACGGTTACTTTGCAAATTGATTAATCTGTTGGTTATTATTTTCGATAAATCGATTAATAATCGGATAGACAAAGATTCCTAAAAGGAAATTTTTTTTAAATGAAATGAAACCCAGCTGAAACTCAAACTTTTCCACCTGAGGAGTTCTGGAGGAAGCATATTAAGAGAAAACTTTTTTTTTAATCTTAAAGGCAAAATGTCTATATATTTTTTGCTATAATTACTGTTCTAAGTGGGTTACTCTGCCAGCTAAAGGTATGTTTTAGAGTCTCTATACTCCAGTTAACAATTGATCGATTACTAAAATAGTTGACAATTATTTCAATAAACAATTAATCCGATTAATTGTTTCAGCCCAAACACACCTTTATCCCTGATTTAATATGGTGCAATTTAGGGCTGAAACAATTAATCGGATTAATAGCTTTGCAAAATAATCGTTAGTTGCAGCCGTAGTGCTATTTTAGAAAAGACTGAATCAAATATTTTACCCAAATATAGAGTAATAGTCAACAACAATGGGTATTAGAACAACTGACCATTTTCTTATTAACCATGGCTTACATTAACTTTAAACTGAAAAAAAAAAAATAAATAAATAAGAAGAAGAGGAGAAACTTATGGATGAAAGGTTTTCCCACTCATGTTCAGCCATTCTGCCAACATAGCTCCCTCTCCAGTAACACAGCATCTGCTGCTCTGTTGGTTGATGCCGTTCTAGTGATCATGGTGAACTGACCTACCCCTTAAGAGGCAACATAACCATTATAGCCTGGAAACATCTTGTGATCCCCCGAAAAGAGCAGGAATGTCCCATTTGAGAAAGGAACGTCTGGAACTTTCTACACCTGTGAGCCATCCTTAAATAAATAGAAGACAATACATGGATGGATTTGGACAATAATTATGAGTAAACGGGATCGGTTACTAGAGTTAGCCTTTTTACCTTTTAGAAATGGTGTTTATACACTGATTGCAGCAATCAAAAAATGTTTATGTTGATTCATGAAATTAAAACCACAGTTTTTATCCAGTAAGATCACAAGGACTGCATGGACACAATATCTTGCAGGATTTTCAATTGCAAGTGCCATGAATTTTTGCTCTAGACATTAATGATGCATTTGGCTGAGAAGCTAGACTGCAGCTATCCTTGAGGATCATTTTTAGTGGCTCAAATAATATATCTCATAAAGTGGTAGGCAACAGCTTAATTAGTTAAAGAAAGAATTGGTGCAGAAAGAAAATGTGGATTAATATTTTTTTGCTTTCTCTGCATGTCCTGCTGCAGCCTTTCAGGCGTTCTATACAGAGAGGCTGATTGCCTGCATGTTTCCCTGCCTGTTTTTCTCTGGTAATAGGGTATCTGGAGATGCTATCCTATATGCTGCATGACTTTATTAAATCAGGATTGCATCAAAGTAGACAAGTTGCATTCATGAAATATAATATATATAATCTGTGTTTGTATAACCTCAGCAGTTTGGATTATTTTTAAAGTACATTAAATAATCACAATATTCAGCAATAGTAAAGCACAACAATGTTTTCATGAAAATGTGCTGAACCAATTTAAAACAACCTAATAACCATTTTAGGCACTTATGCTCCATTTGGATGAATAACCTGATTATACTTTCATCTCCGATTGTTCCTTCTGGTGATCTGATACTTATGAGAGTAAATGGGAGGAATTTTTCTGAGCTTTTTTGTGCATGTCATACCATGGATCTTTCAGCTCTCCAAGAGTTAAGAAAATATGGACTGAACTCCAGAGAAAATATTTATGATCTCTTTTGTTGGCTTAAATTGGTGAAATTAGATTTCCTGGATTCTGAAGGGAAGGCTCGAAGAACTCCTTTCTGTCCCACTGAAAACCAGGTTTAAATGTATCCAACCCCCCTTTATACACAACAGTCTTATGCTCCGTCTTTAGAAACCTCAGACTCCTTGGAAAATGAAACGCAACTATCATTTCAGCAACTTAAGTCCATCAATCCAAACTGCATCCATAGAGTTCATAAACTTTATATTGCGTAATGTGTCCTTTTATAGCAACAGGAAGTGGTCGGTGTGCTTCAGCAAATGTTCATCAATTTATGAAATCATTGCAGGATGTTGCAATACTACAGGGCCCCAACAAGTAACTTAACACAAGAACGAATGTGAAAACTTCTGTTTCTGAGGCAAGGAGAAAACTATTATTTTGGCGTAAACCAGCAGCACTTACTGTAAATTTGCAAAAATGTTCAAACTTGCTAAACATGCATTGTTTATTTTATTTCCTCTATGTTGCAATTGCAAAAATGTGTTATTTGTTTTCTGATTCTTGTGAAAGACCAACGCAAAGTGCATAATTATGAGACAGAGACGAGTGTGTTGAGTAAAAGGTTTTGGGGGATAGCACTTTTCTCTGCAATTACAACTCCAGCTGATTTTTCTCTAATCATTTCTTCAACATTAAAACCTTTGGTTCAGAAAACTGTTGAGAATGTTTCTTATTTTTAATATCCAATAGATTTCTCTCTGAAAATTATACATTTTCTCTCCAAAACCGGGTATCCAGTTATTTGCAGCACACATCCATCTGGGACCAGTTGACTGGCAATAGCTACACTACTGGTTCAAAATAAACATGCTGGAAAAATAAGGCCTCAACCTACAAACTAGACAACCTTAAATTGACTTCATGTAGGGGTAAAATAAATGTAGATAGTTACAAATACATCCAAATCCTTTCAACTGAAGAAACATGATAAAATCATGTCTCGTTTTTCTCCTGTATCACAAATATGCATTAGTTTGTAGGCCTGGGCGATAAACCGGATCTTTACTCTGTCTGTCATTCACTACAATAACTGGCGACAATTTTCCCATGTCTGTAAAATAAATAAACTTAATTCTGCCATATTTCCTGTGTGCGCTGATGGCTGATATTTACTTCCCCTTTAAGATACTACATTATGTGTCTTATCACGGGACTCCGCAGATCCAATCAGAAGTGTAAACACAGAGAATGGCAGATGAGCCCAGTGAAGAAGCGTCTAACAGCCGTAAATGAAGTTACACCAGTTACGATGCACATTGTTCTCACTGCACACTCGGTTCGTTGGCACCAAAATTACACCATAGATGTTGAGCAAAAGAACATGAAATGCAAAGTTTGTCTGAAAACTGTCGGGACTAACTGAAGAAACACATCTAACCTCTACCACCTACAGCACCTAAAAGGCTTCATTGCACAAAAATGTTTGCAAGAGTCGATCTCCACTGCATCCACTCTGTTCCTGAGCAAAACCTTTAACCTCACATTGCTCTCCAGGCGCCACACAATGGCACCCCAAGGGGATGGGTTAAATGCACAGGTAAACTTCTTCAATGCAAGATCAATAAAGTTTAATTATCATTATCATTATTAAGAGAGGTATCATTTTTCTCCCCCTGTTCAATGAGAAATTGTTTAATGTTTAAACCTGAATGGGTACAAGACTTTAATTGAAAGTAATATATTGCAATTTAGATTTAATTTTCTGCACATCCCTTTATTTCTGATAGAGGAGCAGGAGCATTTATTCAGGTAAAACTTGTGATGTTGACCTGAGGTCATATTGCACAGCCCTATTACTTTGTGTTGGTTAAAGGGTAAAACCGGTTTACACACGCCGCTTTGTTTAAAAAAATATATAAATATAAAAAATATAACCGCGGATATCTGGGAGACATTGATTCGCCTACATGTTATGAATGCTGGCTTACCATAAATGATAAATTATAAACAGTTTAGTTTGTGCCTTTAAGTCGTTGCCCATAGGAAGACGTTAATTGGATATAACCTAACCGAATATCTTCAGAACCGCTCCAAATGACACAAAACTCATATGGGTGAGTAGAACATGATGTAATAACGTAAAATCAAGGGCCCAATGTAAAAAAACTGGTGTTCCCCTTTAATACTAAATAAAACAGCAGTGTGTAACTGTGCGTTTAAAATAAAACACAAAGGTTTATTTTAGATTGATGGATAGCAGTTTNCAAGCTTGCTTAATATTGTGCACAGCATACAACCTTTATTGTATTTATTTATTGTATTTTATTTATTAATGAAAATATTTCTGTAGAATTTTGGAGTCTTTTTTTTTTATCCTTGTGGTATCGAAAATGGTATTGAGTATCGAATATTTTCCTTAGTATCGGTATCGAGTTGAAAAGTTTAGTATCGTGACAACTCTAATTGAAAGTAATATATTGCAACTTAGATTTAATTTTCTGCATATCCCTTTATTTCTGATAAAGGAGCAGGAGCATTTACTGAGGTTCCCTTTTTTTGACAATGACAATAAATTCTTGAAACTTGAAAGGTAAAACTGCCCAATTTATTGTGATATTGACCTGAGGTCATATTGCACAGCCCTATTACTTTGTGTTGATTAAAGGGGAACACCGGTTTACATGCCGCTTTGTTTAAAAAAATATATAAATATAAAAAATATAACCGCGGATGTCTGGGAGACAGTGATTTGTCTACATGTTATGAACGCTGGCGTACCATAAATGATAAATTATAAACAGCTTAGTTTGTGCCTTTAAGTCGTTGCCCATAGGAAGACGTTATTTGGATATAACCTAACGGAATATCTTCCCATACTTACCCATATTACCTTAATATGGGTAAGTAGAACATGATGTAATAACGTAAAATCAAGGGCCCAATGTAAAAAAACGGGTGTTCCCCTTTAATACTAAATAAAACAGCAGTGTGTAACTGTGCGTTTAAAATAAAACACAAAGGTTTATTTTAGATTGATGGATAGCAGTTTCATCAATGGCAAGGTTTTAAATGTGACCAAAGAAGAAGAAAAAAAAACAGGAAGTGGAGATGGGTTGGTGCAGAGTGGATGGATGGGGGGAGGGACAGGAAGACTAACAGGATTTTTTATTATTTTTCTTCATAAAGTATCACGTTTTAGGGGAAAAAAACAACTGTTAATATTATTCTGCTTATTTGTGATGTTTTAAATCCCAAGAAGGGGAGAACTGTTGTGTATTCCTGCACCACTTGCAAAAATAAAGGAAAGCTTTAGTAAAAAAGCTCCACGTTCACAATGAGAATATTCATGCTTTGACTCACCCGAATTAAGGCTTTCCACCCTCAGGGGTAGCCCAGACTGGGCGATGGCGATGAGCTTCAATGCGATGTAGAACTGACTTCGTCCGAAGTGACCCAGCCGAGTGGCTCCGCATAACTCTGTGATCTAAACCCACACATACGGCGATAAGGAGGAACAGTTAACATGGTTGTGTTCAGCTGAAGCTGGACTTCTTTCAGAGAATCCACACCTTGGGCAGTTCAACTTCTGTTTCTATCAAAAATTGCTTATCATGGCTTGCTTTTTCTTTTTTTGTCTGTGAAGATCCCAAATACAACCCGATTGTTGCACATTTGTTGTTTTTTATAACCTTCAGGGTGTGCAGATAAGAGAACTCGTAAGAAACCTGAAAAATTTCTGAAATGCGCAAGTTTTCTTCCGATACAGTGTGGCCAGAAACGCAAACTGTAGCAGTCTGATATATCAGGGGAGTTCAAGTTCATAACGTGAGAATAACACTTTAAGTTGGAGTCCTTCATGACTGGGAACCACAACAGCTGAGTGATCCATGGAGTGCTGACAAAGGACCTAATCTAAGTGTGTGTGTGTATGTGTGTGTGTGTGTGTGTGGGTGTGTGTGTGAGTGAGCATATAGAGCAACAGCCCCTTTTTTTCAGCCTGTTACAACATGACACTGTGCCCAGTATGGAGTTACAACGCTGGCCGATTCTTCGACCACACAGCCTCCCCTTGTTGACCTTGAGAAAGATGCTGACTCACTAACAGAAAATACTGGCCTGCCGAGAGACAAAAAGTCACAAGAATGGGCTGCTGCAGCTGAACCAGGCAACTCAGGACTATAAGGTTAACCAAAATAACAAGCATTAAAGAGGATTATGGGAGGAAAAAAAACTGCTGATGCTCTCCTATCATCTCTATGTGTGCACCTACGAGTCAAATCTTAAGGTGGTTAAAACTCTTAACATGTCTGATTCGTACAACGAGAGAAAAACTGAGGAGTTCCTCAATAAATCCATGCAGCCAGAAATGCAACAGTGTTTGCATAGAAAATGAACACCGGTAGACAGGGCAGTGTCTTTAGCGCCTTGCAAGTATTGCCTTAGTGGGTTGCAACACAAAGTTTGTTTGACAATCTGAAAACAGAAACCACAAACACTCTGGACATGAATCGCATTAGCCTTTCCTTGTCCAAGTCAAACACAGTGAGCATCTTAATTTGGAGTCTTGGGACTAAAATAGGACTGGAATATTAGATTTTGAGCTAGTAGAACAAAGCTAAGGGATAAAAGAAATGGGACTGAAGAACTCATCTGTTTTTTTCCAGGACTATCAAACATAAAAGCAAAAATCTGCTGCATGTTTTTTGTTACAGCTGCTAGTTTAGAAACCGACAAAAACAATTACAAAACAATCCATAAATATGACTCTAACTTACTGTGTCTAATGATTATATAATTTCATTAAACTTAATACAATAGGCTACTTTTAAAGCATTTTATATACTAAAGATCGTGTTAAATCTTAGTTGTAATGGGTGTCATCAACAGAAAAACTGTTTAACACTCAGGTTAAACAATCTGTTTAACCTTATTAAGGAACACATAATTCAAAAGGTAAATCACTGGAAAAGCTGCCCTGTACCTAAAATGTATCACATTGTTCAAGAAGAATGACAAAAAAATGTAGAGCCTTTATGAAGAAATAAGCCCTTAAAGTATCTCTAAGGATAGGTGCCTGAAACTTTTCCAGGTAGATTGATTGATTAAAGCCTTGAGGGTCAGAATACATCTGAGAGATAATAAAGAAAAGTCTGTGTGTGACTCTAGCTGAGGGGGCTGTTATAGTTGATGCTGCTCCATTACTGTTACATTAACAAGTGCACACTGTGACATACAGCCTGTGAGCTCAGCATGTCAGCTCAACCCAGAAAATGGGAGGCAGGTTTCCGTGGAGGAAAAAGGGAGGAAAGAGTGGACAGTGATGTGGAGCGCAAAGTCTGATGTGAACATCATGTTGTTGTTTGTTTATTTACAATGGATGAAAGCACAAAAAACATGCTTTTATTATACAGTTTGGGACTATTCTATTGGGGAGGTGGTGACCTAGTGGTTAGGGCATTGTGCTTGGAATCCAGAGGTTCTGAGTTGAATCCCCACTCCTACAGACTGCCACTCTGGGTCCCTAAGCAAGACCCTTAACTCCACACTGCTTCCCGGGCGCTCCACAATGGCAGCCCACTGCTCCTTAAGGGGATGGGTTAAATGCAGAGAGTTAATTTCATTGCTCTGTACTCTTGACAGTGTAATGACAATAAAGTTTAAGTCTACTCTTTTACAAAAACAGTTAGAAATTGCCTTTTTTGAGATTAAAAAAAAAAAATAAGTCTTGCAATCTGATATATTGTCCTTTAAAAGCCTTGGCTTAGTTAAAAATACTTCTAAATGAAATGCCAGAGAGTGAGAGCAGGTTTTTCCCTCTTTCTGTAGGGAGGAGAGTATCAGTGCTTCTCCTCCCCCACATGTTGCTGAGCACTGCCAGTCAGCTGTCTGGGGGAAAAAAAAGAAAGAAAAAAAAAACAGCAAAAAAACTTTTCCCTTCCTTGTATAAAAAGTCAAAATTTGTTAAGTTTGGAATGATTTCAAGTTGAAAAATCATTGATATTGAGGAGCATCACTTGTATTAAATCAAAACTGCAGTTTCGAGGGTATAAATTGCATCTCTGTGAGGCTGCTAACTTTGGGTTGGATACATAGTCGATATCAGTGTATTGTTACAAAATAAGTTTTGGTTTTTTATCCACAAAATATGAAGGTTTACTTATCAACCAGTGCTATAACTAGTGAAAATTCCATAAACGTTGTTTTTACCTTTCTAAAGATTAAAAAAAATAAAATATTATCCATATTTTTATGAGCTTCAAATTCAAAAACATCTAAAAAATAAATTTTCTAACAGCCATTTACGTCTTAAAGAACTTAAAATGTAGATACTTTTTGTAATGATACAGATATTTTATGGTCACTAGTCCGACTGGTTAGTACCTTCATTAGTTTATTATTATTATTATTATTTCAACATACTGTAAAAAGGAGCCCAAACCTGACAGAATATTTTTACCACGTTGGTTGTGTTTCCATTGTATCTTTTAAATAATTGACTTATTTTGTTGACTTCATATATCATTATTAAGGCTTGTTAATTTGTGGGGTGATATTTAGTGGTTGTGAGCTTAGAAGCTGGTTTAGAGCCGAATAGTTGGGCTAACTTTAGCCGGAGGAAGGTGTGTCCCTCGCTGCGCAGCTTTGCTAACCTGCCTGGCTAACCTCAGGTCATCACTCTGACAGCAAACCTTGTATAACATCAGTCTAAACGGCTCCTAAAGCAACATACAGCCTCTTAGCCAAAGGGGGCAGAGAGTTGAACAAACTGCTACCTGTCTGTGGTTAGCTTACCTGGAGGACAACTTCACTGGGTAGCTGGGCCGCCCGGAAAAGGTCAAGAACTCTCCCATTAGAAGCCACTTTTTTGGTGTTGTCTGTGTCGCAGTAGATGAACAAGTCCGAGTAGTATTTCTGCTCGACATCACTCAGCGTTAGACTTTCCATGGTTGTGACTAGAGAGGCTGGAAAGCGGACTAGCTGGTTGATTAGCCCCCTTAGCCAATGGCTGGGGCAGGATCCAAAAACGGATGAGACTTCAGGATCCTGACTGGGCTAACGGTGAGGTTAGCAGTTAAACTGTGCTCCCCGTTCACCCTCAGCGTCCCTAACGCCGTAAAACAACGCAGACCCCAGCACGGTTCCCCAGCTATTGATAGCTTTCACACTGTTGGTTAACTTGTTGGGCAGCCAAGCCAAAGTGGCCAGCCGCTAACACGGCTACCTTGAATCAAAGTCAGCAGCACGAACAGCGGGCTAAACTAGCAAAGTGCGTCCACCTCCTCGATCCGGACATGAGCCGCGTTGGTCTCGGAGTACAGGACTTCCTCTCCCCTGGATCTTCGGCAGGATGCTGTTTCTGATCCTTGCCCGAGGCAGACTCTTCCACTGGGCCGTTAGAAGTAAAGTTTCAGGGTCTTGGGGCTCCTTCCTCTAGTAATCATAGCCGCCATTCCTGCCGTCACTGTGAAGTCGGCCCTGAGGAAGAGTATCTGTTCCGCTTTACCTTTCAAAATAAGCGTCGCCTTTTGGCAACTTTCTATTTAAAAACAAACAAACATCTAAATGCACTTGATTTACGCAGCACTTGCAATAATATGAAGGGACAGATAAGTTTGATGTTGTTTATTTCTCTTTAGAGTAATAAAACACTTTAATGCATTTTCTTGCATATTCTGACAACTTTCCATCTTCAAATTCCTCCTGACATAAAAAAAAAAAAAGAAAAGTTTTTTAAGGGTCTAACAGAGCAGTGATTAATTTGTATCAGTGGTAAATGGCATGTATTTTATAGGAGGTCTGGGGACCCAAAAGCATTTTACACTAAAATCAGTCATTCATGCACTTATGGTGGTAAACTGTACCTTAGCCACAGCTGCCCTGGGGCACGCTGACTGAAGTGAGGCTGCCATACCAACAACAACATCAAGCCGTCTAACCACCAACAGCAGGCAAAGTGTCTTCATCACAGCGCCTGAGAGAAAAGGGGTGGGCACTCAAACAGGTAACTGAACTACCGTCACCCCAATAATAACAACCTTCCATTTTGGTTTTGCATTGATAAAGTGTCCAAGATTTAATAAAATCGGCATTTCTAAATACTTATTTATAAAAGTATTTGTTCAATTGTAGCAATCAGTAGTCTAGTTTTGCAAGCATACATAGCCTACTTAATGTAGTCTATTAACCTAAAGCAATATGCATGGTATGGTTGTTACATGTCAGGTACACCGGTCATTGAACTTGACCAAGGCGCCTAATAGTAGAACTGCAGTCAGTCCCTGGACTGGCATGGCTATCACTGCCCCTACAGAGTTAGGGACAAATTTCCCACTGGGATCAGCTTCACAGTCATGGTAGGACACTGGTCATTCCTGCTGAAAAGTGTAGATTGACCCTGAGGTTCTGGCACCTATCTGCTTTTGGCCTCCCCTCAGTTTACAATAATTATTGCCTGGCCACCCTTATTAAGATTTTCTGGCTACGCCTTTGAATGAATCATTTTATAAATCCCTTTGTTGTCCAACAATGGGGAAATTTACTCTCCGCATTTGACCCATTCCCTTGGGGAGCAGTGGGCTGCCATTGTGCGGCACCCAGTGAGCAGTGTGGGGTTAAAGGTTTTCCTCAGGAACCCAGAGTGGAGGTTGTGGGGATAATTGCAACTTTCTCAAATGGTAAGCAGGCAGCTCTAACCACTAGACCAGCACTCCCTACTTTTGCATATGTTAAGCTATGATTAAAAAAAATAAGTTAATTTTTGCATTCACTGTTTAATACTGTAACCTTGTAAATTGCTTCATCAGTTTCTTTTATTTGATCGATTTTATGTTAAATGATTATGATGCTCGACCACATTTTTACTGAAGCAGGGAGACAGCTGAGAGTTTGTGTCCTTCAGTGGAAATCTTCATGGTAATACGTTTGCAAAGTGGAACTATTTCAAAATAAATTTTAATAAGTTAATCACATATTTTCTTGCCGTCATGGAAGCACAATTAATTAAAATTAACATTTCTTTCTGGACCTACCTGTAAAAGAACTGTACACTCAAAATGACTGCCAGACCAAAAAGCAAATATGAGTAATCAGTCTTTAAGTAAACCTCCTTATCGTTATCATCAGCAACTCATCACTGTATGGCTTAATAAATAGCATATTCAAAATTACATAAAAAGTCTATGTATAATCATGGTTCATGCACAGCAGGTTACAACAGTAAAAGTAAAGCCGCTCAATTGTATATTTTCGTCAGTGCAAATGACATTAAAAGGAACAAAGTAATTAATACAGATATCAAATAAATAAATCTAATTAAGCTATTTACAAGATTACAATATCAAACTCAGAAATTGTGGGGATCTTTTTTTTTTTTACGACACAAAATAACAGTATGAAGCTGAAATAGATAAAGGTTTTAATTAGATTTTCTATAACAATATAATATTTATTAAAATATTATTTATCCCCTGATCTTAAATACATGTTTTTTTTAACTATCTAATAATGTATATAATATAAGATACTTTTTAATTGTTTTGAAATGCTTTATGACTACTTTAAATTTAATTTAGTCTCTGTAAGGGGAAAAAGAACAACAGCAAAAATGTTTTTTGTAGCATTTTTAATGGATCATCTAAATCATGTGTACACTTGAAAAATAAAGTTCTTATGGGATAGAACAAAGCCAAAGTTGTGTGTAAACATTTCTCTCGCTTAAAAAAGAGCTTTTATTCTGAAAACAAAATTTGCTAACTTCCAGTTTAAGACCTGGCATTTTATGAATTACTTTTTAACTTGGTGTTTCCAACATTGGAGTCTTCTCTGGCCTGCAGGGAACCAGATGACTAATTCATGAGTAAAAAATGCAGCTTTTACCCTAACTTTGAATTTACGAGAGAAATTCAAATTCTCTATCTTTCAGAAAGCAATCAAATAGGGGCATAAACAATATTTCCACTCATACAAACAAAATTAATATTTCCCTTCTCCTCTGCATATAAAAAGTAAAATAAAATTTGATCATGATTTTGGTAAACAATACAGTAATAGTGTGATTCCTGCTCTCTTCTCACCCTGATGGGTCTGATTTGTCTATATAAAGCTGATACATTAAACAGATTTGTAAATATAGAAAAATACACCATAGAAACATAATCTTAGATTTAGATAATTAAGTAAATAACGAAGTTCTTGTTACATTTACTCAGTTATATTTACTTGAGTAGATTTTGGGGAAAAACTACAAAGAAAACTTACTTCTAGAAAGAGTTTTACTGCATCATACATTTCACTTAAGTAACACTGTATTGAAAGTCTCCCTTGACTGCAGTTTCTGGCCTCTCCATCCACCTTTAGTTACTTCACTGAATAAAGATCAGGCATGTCTCAACCAAAAATCTTTTGACACAAACCTAAACCTACTTTTTTTCCTGTCTGCTCAGCCTGCTCTACTATTTGGAGAACTTGACATTGTTCTAACATTATTTACTATAAGTATTGTTTTCAAAAGTTTTATGTTGTAAACAGATATACGTATTTTTTTTCTGCCAGACTTTTTTTTTTTTTTTTGCAATGATATTAATGTGTTTTATTTCTTTCCTGTAATATCTAAAAGAGTTTGGAGGTATATTTTTCATTTTTATATCTACATAATTATTTAAAATATTAAATCAAAAAGTCTGATTAGTTAATTAGACCTTGTTAAGTTTTTTATTCTAATTGTTCTTAACCAAGTTCAATTTTTACTCAAAGCCAATTAAATATATTTCATTAGTGTATTTAGTTTTACTTCAGTTAAATGTATTCATCTAATATTGTTATAACTTCAGTTTTGGCCACTCTTCCCATCTATAGCTAAATTAAAGGGTTAATTTACACCTTTAAATCAGCAACAGCATTAATCAATGTTTTGTTGTATACAATTTCACCATAAGAGAATCTCTTGTGTATATTTTAAGATCCAACTTTAAGTTTTATATAGATCTCTGACTTATATCAACATATTTTGTCTCACCAGAAGAAATATTAATATTTAGAGTTTGTCTGACAAGAGCCCTGATTTTATTCTGATTGAGAATCTGTAGAGTTAGTTATTGATTACGGTGATGAAAAGAGGGCCTTCCGTTTTCAAAGACACCAAACTCATATTCAAAAGAAAATCTATTTGAAAAGAAGTTAATACATGCAACAAGATTGTCTTTATTTTTTAAAATAAAATATTTCAAGTAATTTTTTAGTATAAGATGGCTCTAAACATAGGTATTCCTTTGACATTGTTTTATAATTCTTTATGAGATTCATTTATTTATTTATTTTTATGAATGTCTTTATTAGTTGAACATAATTTAAATCTAAAGTTTTTAAAATTTAATTCCACCAATTCTTCTGCCAAAATGAACACGTCCTGTGGGTCACAATGAAGTCAGATGAGTAGGGATGTGTCTATTGTGACTGAGCCGACACATCCTGCTAGCTCATTTCCTGGAACAATGTGTGACTTTTATTTCCCATTTCAATTGAATTTAAATGTATTCAGAATGTGGCACAATGGAAAAAACAAAACAACAACAACAAAATCTGTTAGAAATCACTATTTCATTGCAGTACTGTTCATACAACCGGGTTCAGATCTATTTAAATGTAGTCCAACTTGATCCAAATAAGGCTTTTCAAGTCAGTTGATCATCTAGGTAAGGCATCCCCAACCTGGGTCCTAGAGCTTCAGAGAGTGCATAGAAAAAGAGACACAATAATGTTCTAAGCCTTTATATTCACTTTAAATAGAAATATTCTTTTAACAGTACACAAGGGATCTATAAGTATGAGCTTAAACTGCTATGATAGCTTGCAAAATTATGTGTATCACAGATTTAAATTACTATCCATAACTGCAGGTTTATTAGACCAGATTTAAATGAATGTTTCGGCATGAAAGATCTGAGCCAAATGAGTCGGATCCAAGAAAAGAGATTGAATTCCCATCATTACAGCGGGTTATCATGGTGCCTTCATGTTAACTTTGGCCTCGAAGGGAAAGGAACAATTCAAAAGGCTACATTTGTACGCCTTGCATTGTTACTTCTTACTATTTATACGAAACGTTCCATAACTGAATTACCCTTGTAGCGCCTTAACCAGTTAAATTCAGATTGCCTTTCATTTGTTGCATTTCCTTTCAACTTCACTTGAAATCTGTCACTTGGAGATGGAAACAGATATAATGTGTTGCAGCTCGTTTTTTTTTTTTTTTTTTGTTTCTTTTTCTTTTTCTGAAATGACCTTTCAATTAAATTGTCGCATATCATTTAACAACTACAAACGTCAATCTATGCCGTCTATTTTTTCTTTTTTTTTTGCTCCACCTCACTAGTTTACTTTAGTAAGCGAATTTTCCGAGCACCCACTGAACGCAGCAATATTCTCACCGGGTGCCGACTCTTCAGAAAGTCCTACTACATCACCTCCCTACA